GGTATCTCGCGACATGCACGGCAATTTTCTGATCCCTTAGTCCTTGGTTTACAACAATATAGTTTAAATTATTGTGTAATTTAGTTTGCATTGCCTCTAGTTCTTGGAGTGTGTTGTGGTCCACCAATCTTGCCAATACAACCAGCTATAGTAGCAAGCCTTTCAAACGATAGCTTAAGGCAATTGACCATTATTTGGGTATGGGTCAAAATTAGGTACCCCAATAATTGGATGGTTAATACTAAACTAGACTAACATCTGTGGTCCCCTAGGTCTTCCATTTTGACCCACATCCATTTAGTTCTTTTGGTGGTCGGATGCCGTTTGTCTTTCTTTTTGGGACATACTACATTATATAATATTATATTAGCAACACCAAGCAAGATGCCAAAAAGTGGGTCCAGGGTTAGAGGATGTTTTCCGTATGGTTTCCAGGTGTTTAATCAGTTTTTTTGTTTCCACATCTTGATGAAATCTCCAGAGATTAGGCGGCCATTGGTAAGTTCCCAGGAGCAGAGAACGACTGAGCGAACTGCAGGTGTGGCACGGGCGGCACGGGCGGCACCGGGGCTGTGGGGAGGGGGTAGCATTTCAGTAACCGTCAACATTCACCAACAATCCGGATTGACGGATTGACATTGAACACAGGATTTTGGGTGGCCTGATTATTGGTGACTGAGCAGTGTTTTTGTTTGGAAAGTGCTTCCTCCCGCACTTATCACCCGTGCTTGTTTAATCCAGGGTTTTCCTGTCCCAGAACCATCCCGAAATTGATATGTTGATAGGGGATTTCCATGGATTTCCCATGAATTCTTGTCTTGTTCGTAGGAAATTGGCGTGGTCATTCTATGTTATTGACCACCTACCAGTTCTTGCAGTAGAACTACCGTGCTTTATCCCACTACGCCGTTTGCCCTGGTAAAGGAACATTCGAAATAGGAAGTATTTTGTCGAGCTCAGTCACTTTGGTACTCAATGTACAGAAACCCCCAAAACGATAGTAACTCGTCATAATTGATCACTATTTGGTTGTGGGATTTTACCTTGACTTCTATTGACTTCTAGATATATCTCTTTTAGGGGTTGCTAAGAATCTTAATGGTACCCGATGATTTTCCCCTCACCTGACAGAACGTGTGCGACAACAACGTTCTCGTGTGGAAGGATCAGGACGCCCTTCATGGTGGTCATCCTGGGGTTGCCGTTGGCCACTGGAACTGTTGCCATAACTTGGGGTTTCCCAAGTCATGGGGCTCCCACAAATCATCCAGTCGTCATGACCATGACATAATGATATAACCCATAGGATCGATGTATGGTATATGCTAACATTTACCATCAATATACCCCCAATGTTAGCATATATACCATACATGGATCCTATGGGTAATGATATAAGTTCATATTTTGTTTGCAACCCCAAATTTTCCTCAAGGCCCACATTCCAAAAACTTTTTGGTAATGCTACTTTTGGGTTGGTCCCTCCCTATTAGTCAACATGGGTGGTCACCCCCATTTTTTGAAAAATCCCAATTTTTGGATTTAAAAACTAATGGAAAACCAGTGGATTCAAAGCATTTCTCATACTCAATTCCATAAATCCCACTGAAAAACCAGTGGATTCAAAGCAGTTCTCATATACTAAATCTCATAAATCCCATTCCCAATCTCATGAATCCCATTTTTGGTTTTGCTACTCATTATTTGGGGGTGAAAACATTTCTCATGGGTTTAAACCTTCTGGGGGGGTTATTGATACGAACTCGGAATTAGTATTGAAACCCATGGTGACTTGGCGATCCCCCATGACTTAAGAAACCTCCATTTGTATCCATGTCATGTCTCTGTTTCAATGTTTTTGCTCAACAAACTGGGCTCTACTACCGGGTAGCTTACACCGCCTCACTTGTGGTTTTGCGTGCAACACCAGGGTTGTCAACAGTTGTCAACCACGTAGAAATTGGGTGCTCCAAACTTCAATGAGGCATCCGTTCTTGGAGGGTTGATTCTACACGCTGTGTGTAACACTGTGTCATGCACAGAAGATATGTATGCATATCGGAGTGAACGTTTGACGGGTGAAAACAAGAACAGGAAGAAACTGAGACGTCAGCACTTCACCAAAGGCATGTGTTCCCATGCGAGCCCCCATCGTAGTCAGCGCATCCCCAAATAGGTTGTCTAACGGTAAGTTTCAATAAGTTTCATAGTTTACGGAATCACCATATAAAACTACGTATGTATGTCCGAATATGATATTCCCAAACCATGTTCAGTTAATGGTGTCACAGACAAACAATGCAGCTCCAATGAGTATGACGCGTTGTTTGTCCAGAAACAGATCCTGGAGTAGTAGACGGCACGGGACAGAGATAAGCTGCATACAACTGCTGGTAAACACTTTTTAAGCGTCCTAGCATGTGGGCATTCTAGATTTGCGAGGGCGAATGATGCAGGCGCAAAACTCGATTCTTGTTTGTTTCTGTTTTTGGGATATCTATGTTCGAAGAAGGAATTATTCTGATACTGGAAGAAGTGGTTTAAGGGATATAGTTTATGTTTTTTTTCACCATCAAACCTGAGTTTCCTGTAATTAGATGTTCCCTTCAATAGCCGTGAGATACCTACCTTGGTGTCAGACCCCAGGAGCACATTGCAAAGGCGGCTGGGTGGGCGAGGAATATATGCGTCTATGGACCTTATTCTCATGTATATATCAATAGATAAAATGCTATAACTGAACATATTGCGGGATCCTCTTGAACGCTTTTCTTTCCGCGTGTTTTTTTCAGATTGATCTGCAGCCAACATGAGCTTCTAACCGGACGATGTTTTTCAAGCAATCTCGCTGTTGTTTGTTCTTCCAAATGCAAACAGGAGCATCAGCATCAACTTGAAAATGTGTTGTCATTGGAATCGTTGATTCCTGGGAAGAACGCAGCCCAAAATTTGGGGCTGCACATCCCATGTTTGGCATGTCGGTTTGTCCTTAAGCATCGGGGCATAAATTTATGGCCATGCAAGCAATGAGAAAAGCTGTTTTCTCAAACACGAGATTTCCACAGGCATTGCAATTTCAATGGGAAAAACTATGTTGTGAGCGATTGGATTTTACCATTGGATTTCCGGAAGCTTCCATGGTGGTGATCATCCTCATGTTCAATATCCTCGAATTGGAGGAATGGAACACTTGCAGGCATCCCTATATTTTTGGTTTCAAAAAACATGTTCCTGTAGACTTAGAGTCTCTTGATTTTTCTTCAATCGAAACCACTTTGAATGGGAAAAACCAGCGTTTTCCCGGGGTGGAACTTTCAATTGCCAGGTAAAGGTGTGCTCGGTACGGAATGGGTGCGGCAGCTGCTGTGGAGCATATCGGGACTACCCTTTGGCAAATGTTTACCATAGCAACTATACGCAGGTCCTTTGGAGGCAGCATGAAATATCTGTGGTAAAGCCAATTTTTGTTCAGCTCCAATTACCACCCATGTCTGGTGACATTAGGGATGATTTATGATGATTTATGATGATTTATGATGATTTATGATGATTTATGATGATTTATGATGATTTATGATGATTTATGATGATTTATGATGATTTATGATGATTTATATATGGCCCCTTTATGGAATCTGCCACTGAAACGATGTTCGCATGTCATGCATGTCGTGCCAGGCACCCATGTAGACATAGGTCACCCAATTACTGGCCGCATCATTATGGTAAGAAATGATTCGGATTGATTCGAAAGATTTCGGTTATAATCCATGAACTCTGCCAGTCAGTGTTGTGGCATTGATCCTCCTTAGTTAATTGCTATAGCCATATTGATCCTCAGGATCATCCCAGTACTCAAGACCTCAAGACTCGTTGGGCTCAAGTTGTTGCTTTGAGACAATGATGATTGATGAGATCATGCTGCGCCCAACTGGTTGTTGTTTTTTTTTAACCATGGCGAATCGATCGTCATGGACTTGTCATTTGTTCTTGTGGTCTTTCGCACAGTTGCTCTGATCTTTCTTGGGTTTTAGAGCAGGGCTTCCAGAACAGTCCACAAGCACCTGGCCCCTTCTTGCCTGGATGACTCGACTTGGATGTTGTGGCAATTGTGGAGGCGATGGTTTTTCCCAACACGACTTGGGCCATGATTATGTAGTACCCTTCTGTACTCAAACACGGCAATGGAACATCACCCGTAAAATGGGTGTTCTAATTTGAAGATCATCTGTATCAATGGAATATGTTCCACTGCCAGGTTTGATGACCAGAGGGTGGCTTGACCCCCCCCAGATGGCAAGTCATTGGGTATGAAATGTGGATGACTTGATCAAAGGATTGCTGTTTCTTCAAACAAACAAGAAGCACAAAATTACATGGCTATGGTATATATATATATATACATGTATATGATTGTATTTGTATATTATATATATATTACAGTGAACTATTACAGTATATATATATAAATATAGAGATGAACCATTTAGTGATACATGTTTTACTTTTTTTAGATTGTGTTTTTCCAGTTCGCAAAGTGTAATTGAATTTACCAGATGGTATTATAACATATTATAACCCATATTCTTCATTAATATTACATTAATATTACATTAAGACTATTATCCATTAATATTCCATGAATAAATTAGTAGTCCATTAACATTCTCATGGCAAATCCCCATGTTTCATGGTTCCACGGGATGTTTATGATCCATGGCCCATCACCCGGGGATGAATTTGATGATTCATTTACCAGATGATGCCATTGCTATGAATACCCTCTGGTTATGTCAAAATAGCTATTGAAAATGACCATAGAAATAGTGGATTTACCCATTAAAAATGGTGATTTTCTATAGCTACGTTAGTTTACCAGAGAGTATGCTGATTCATTTACCAACTATTAAAAAAAAAAACATGTTCACCTGCGGTTTTGGTTGAGTTTACCCCCTACAGTTTGTTGGGTCCCTGAAAAGCCGTCGGATAAAAGCCAGGCTATGGCGGCGCCCTTCAGCGCGAAGCGCAGCGGTTGGCAAGCACAGGCCGCGTTGCCGGAGATCGGTGTGACATCACCAGAATTTGGTGATTGAAGCAGCAATTGCTGATTTGCTTGGTGGTTTGGAACATGGCTTTGATTTTTCCATATATTGGGAATAATATGGAATAATCATCCCAACTGACGAACTCATATGACCATTTGTCAAAAATAGTTGTTTAGAAGTTTAGTATTGGTTGTTGATAATTCATCTGGGTCTACTGTTTTTCCTCTTCGTTATGAGGCGGCACGCAACTAAATTCGGCAATTCTGCAAGGCAGCGCTAGCAAACCCGCTAGGTTTGTGCTAGCTTTGATTGACAGCCATGGCCTCCATGTCGTGAATGTCTTGCCAGCTTTTCTTACAAGTCTGTCAAATTCCACATATTCCCAAATTTTCGATATTTTTTTTAACGTATTTTACGCGCTAGATCGCCGCTAGCAACGCGCTAGCGAAAATTGCAAATACATGCCCCGGTCCACCCGCAGCCCATTCAGAGGCACAGCCATGTTCACGCTTTGGTACTTATGTACAGTAAGGAAACAGCGTTGATCAGGAGGCATGTCAAGAAGCATATTGCATTCAGAGAGGCACACACGCAGAGACACACAGTTCAGGAGATAGTACCAGCGACAGCGAATGAAAACCGACGTGCGTTAGCCGATTCCTGTGGTTTTAGAAAGATTTCCAAAGGTAACGAAGAATTTCCACGTTTTCACCTCATCAAGGTAGGTCATGTTTTTAAAGGCAAACATGAGGCGGCACGCATGGAATTGCGATTTATCAACAAAACCGGGAACAGACATTTTGACAAACCGTCATATGTTTCAGAGGGGTAGGTCAACCACCAACCAGTGATGTTTTTTATGTAAGCTGACTTAGTTGCCAGTAAAATGATCAAAATGCTGATCCTCTCATTACTCGGGGTTCATGATGACACATGACTGAAGCGGTGAAAACTAGGTTTCGGAGAATTCACCCTCGGATTGATATACTCTGATGGTTAAGCCCCAAAAAAGTGATACCCTCTGGTAAACTAACATTGCTATGGAAAATCACCATTTTTAATGGGAAAACTCACTATAAACGGGCCATTTATACCATGGCAAACTGTTAAATAACCAGAGGGTACATTGCTGTTTACTCATGGATCCCATTGATGTTGGATTTACAGAGATTGACCGACCACCTTAGCCGTCGTCTAGTTGACGATCACTTCGTTTCAAGCTTTGGTTTTGAAATAGCGCTCCAGTAGATCATTTGCTATGATCAACTTGCCCATTTGCGCAACGTTTTCTTTCCCGTCCTGTGCTCCATGAAGAAAGATCGAGTCTTGAAAAAGAGAAATAAGTCAAGAAACAAAGACGCAGTGTCGCACAGAGAGAGCAGTTCGGGAAAGTCTTGAAGACATTCGACAGTTCTACCTGAGTCTTACCCTTGTTGCACACTGCGCAGGATACAAGCCACCGTAGGAGAAGTTTCCAAAACGATGTTCCCACTGGTTCTGCTGGTTGAGACCCAGATTTTATGATTCCTTCTGGCCAACAAACCTACAATGTGCCCCCAACATCCCCCAACTATATATATATGTATATAACTATATATATATATATATATTGGCTGGCATATTTTCACCCATCACTACCTCTGCCTACCATCGCCCATATGGTTGGATGATGTTTAAATGGATGGCGCTGAGAAGCAGCTACTGTAAATACCTTGATGAGATGGGTCGTCATGAATTCTTCGGTCATAGGTGATGGACATCCATATGGATTAGATTGGATTAGAATATATAACAATGATTTCATAATATATCACATATATATATAGATACCCTCTGGTAATTTAACATAGCTATTGAAAATCACCATTTTTAATGGAAAAATCCACTATAAATGGTCATTTTCAATAGCTACGTTAAATTACCAGAGGGTATATATATTATTACATATATATATATAGATAGATAGATCGATAAAGATTAGTGAAGAAACCATGTCCATTGGTACAGGCGGCAATCAAAAATCAGTGGCTTAACGGTCGCCAGTTCTGGCGTCAAGTCCAAGGTTGTGGCAGTCCTTTGCAAAATTCATTGCCTCGCCATTGGAACTCGATGTTCATTGGATAGTTCATTACTTATTGTTAGTGATATCACCATATGGATATTGGATAGTTCACATCAGATATTGGATTAGAATATATATGCAAAGAATATGTCAAATGAATGTCCAATTACTTTGGAAACCCGTTTCGGTGATCCCTCTTAGTGAATTGAGTTCCCTACTTTACATAATCAAATTGTTTGCATGTTTTTTTGGGGGTGAACAACAAAGAAACACATGTTTTGGTCTTGGTTTTGAAACCGAAATGACACGATGGTTTTTCAGGCTGAGCTTCAACAACATTGGCCCAGCCTGAAACTGAGGGCAGCGGCTGTGTCAAATCAATATACATATGTTCTCTGGTTGTTTTCCCAATGAAGGTTGACTCCATTTCTGAGGCTTAAGCTTTCAAAGCTTGATGATCAATTCCATCTTTTGAAGGTTGACTTCCCCATTTTTGACACTTGAATCACTTGAATCCCAATGTTTGAAGATTAAATCAAGTTGACTCTGACTCCCCATTTTAGAGCCTCAAATGCTCAATTGTTTTGGTCGGTGGTTTCTCCGTTTTGACTAAGGCCTGGACCTCTCTCGGGTTTGCGCGGTGGGGTGCCCCATTCTAAGGACAAGTTGGTTAGTGATTATGATGTGTCCGGTTGTAGAACATTGTCTGGACTAGTTTAATATATAGTAATTATAATGTGTATATATATATATATACATGTATACATATATATATATCATTATAATTATATGTGTATAAATAGAGTTGCTCAATAATCTGGAGTACTTTGTCTTCAAGAGTTGCAGATGTATCAGGTGGGTTGCGTGGTGGACGTGGCGTTGTCGGCTTGGGAACCTGGATCTCGCAAGCCATGGTCGATGACCCGTGTACATCATAACTACCATGGGGATACCATGGATTAACAATGGTTGATAATGGTGACTAATGGTGATTAACGGTTAACAATGGTGATTAGTGCTGATTGATGGTAATTCATGGATTTACCATCTGGTAATGTTACAGTTTGCTATTGAACATGGCCGATAGAAATAGATGGTGATTTTATAGCTATGTAAACGTCTACCAGAGGGTATCATGATTAGTATGATCAGATTATCATTCACTGTATCATTTTGGTGAATAAATGTGAATAACAACAATAAGAATGATTATATAATTAGTGATACTGTAACATATATATATATAGTTGCGAAGAATAACAATGAGAATAATGACAAGAATAGTGGTGATCATAGTGATAGGAATGGGTCCCTGGGTGTTTCTCGGCAAATTGGGGAGCCTGCAGATCATGGTGCTTTCAGGATGTTTCAGGTATTCCGATTACCCTCTGGTAATGACTAACACAGCGATGTGGAAAATCACCATGGATATAATGGGAAAATCCACTATTTCTATGGCCATTTCCAATAGCAAACTGTTCGTTTACCAGAGGGTAGTTGAAACCTGCATTGGTATGTGTCACTGCGTTGAAATCACAGCAGTTGCAATGGTGTTGTATAAAGATGCTAGAATTATCTAGAATTAGGGGAGTATATTTATGTCACATGTATAATTTTGAACCCCGAATAAACAATGGTATTTCACATGTATAATCAACGCACCTCAGTCCCTCCTTATCAACCGGGGCGCCTGAGTTTCAGGGATTCAGATCGACGCTGGTGCAAGGACATGGCGCCCATCAATGGTCCTGTTTTGGTCCTGATTCTTTTTGGGATCTCTACAGTGATGACCCTTTAGTCAGTTATAAGTCAGTTATAAACCCATTTATGGATATTTATGGAATTATAATCATGAAAATACGTATTTATGGAATTATTTATGATTATTTATGGATTATAACCTTATAACCCATGTTTGACCATTAAAAAAATCATGATTTCACTGGTCAAATCCTCACATTTTTTTCACCATGAAATCCATGAACCAAGCTGCCAAAAAGGCTGTGTCTTATCCACTATGGCATCTCAAAACACGAGAGCAGGTGGGTGTGGCCATGGGGAGATGGGGAGAATGGGATTGGGATATAATATATATATATATATATAACTTTATATAACTAGATAAAGATAGATAAAGATAGATAAAGTCATTTCTAGTACTGAGGGGCTATGTGAAAACAGATCAAAACTGATTAAAACAATGATTATCATAGTATATCGGATTCTAGCAGGCTTTGGACACAGGAACCGCTGGATGCAACGTTCTGTTGGAGAAACCTCGGTCGTTCCTCGTTTCGGCCATTGAGAAATCTGTCATCCTTCAGCGCTTGTTTTTTGGATGGAAGTCTTGCCACGGATATACCCTCTGGTAATTTAACATAGCTATTGAAAATGGCCATTTATAGTGAGTTTTCCCATGAAAAAAGGTGATTTTCAATAGCTATGTTAAATTACCAGAGGGTAAATGTCATACAGTAAATATTCATAAATATTCATAAATCAATAATACATGATGCAATTCAAATGAATTCAACCTACCCGTGCAGCACCGAGTTGTTTTCAGATAACACTCAATGACACCTCTCTAAATTCAGTCGAAACTCAGCGGATCCCAGTTGAAGGCGAAAGAATCGCCATTGAGACTGCCCTTCCAATGTTCAAGCACCCCCATAACTATAATTCACAAATAGTGGTTATGTATATATTACCAGATGAACATAGAACCAACAGAATAGACATAATTGTATTGGTAAACTATATAATTAAAATTATTTTCATACTAATCATATTGTGTGTTGCTTTCACTATGTAGTATACTATAGTATGTACTATCATTATTGCAGATTGATGTTTGAAAGAGCAGGAAAACATGATCTATTCTATTAGATTATCATTATGGTTGTTTAGATTTCCACTGAATGATCAATATACGTTTTACCTTTATTAGAAATACTAGATCTCCATAATGTTGTGTTTTACCTTTGTATAACGGTAATCAATGATATAAATGACAACTCATCAACCTATATACTTTCAATAAACCATGCCATGTATGATAAGTGTATGTGAATATGTCATTAAACGACATTCAACCATTTATTACAGTAGTAAACCATTTATACTTTTATAATACTGGTAGTTTACTCTTGTACAGTTTGTCTATGTTTGTCGTATTCATTCAGTGGATAGACCAGAGAAGGCAATAGTAAACTATATCATCAGGATTACATAGCAGTAGTAAACTATATCACAAGGCATTAATAAACTATCTGATAAGGCAATAGTACACCATAGTCATCATATTTCAAATATTTCAGGATATCAAATAAACAATGATAATAACTTTGTCATAGTAAACTAGGAAATATCAAATAAACTACGTATCATATTTAAGGATATCAAATAACTTATGTCATCTCCCCGTCACGTCTTACGTCGGCTCCGATGGTCAGGTCCTAGGTCGCGGCTGTGCTCAGCACTTCCGCGAGCTGCTGCACCAAGCGGGGTCCTGGCCTTGGTGGCTCCACGGTTGGAAAATCCATGGAAAATGGATGAACATCCTAAAATGGATGTACCATGGTGCTAACCCCCCCCCCATTTTTCTTTCTTAGAACCCCTCTAATATACTTGGGAGGTGAGATGAACACCTCAAAGGTGACGGTTTATTGTGAAATGGTTGAGCTTATAAAGCACACTATTATTATGTATTATATTTTTTGTATATAGTTATATCCCCATACACCTTAGTCTCACCAACAAAGCTGTTGTTTCCAACAGAAGCTCTGTTTCAAAACTGTGAGATGCCCTACCCTCGTTTACAGCAATGTGTTTCTGGGGAGAATGATGATAAACGATGCCTTGGAGGCTTCATCTGCGTGGGTTTATCAGTCTAATGCCAATCTGGTTGGTGGTTTGGAACATGAATTTTATTTTCCCCAATAGTTGGGATGATGATCCAATCTGACTTTTATATTTTTCAGGGGGTTGAAACCACCAACTAGCAATGGATTGTTCCATCAAAATGGCAATGTGGCTGGTATATCACATGCTTTCAGACCAACCATGACATCATGACCACCCACATGTTTGAAGCTACTTTTTGGATATGTCCATTGGCTGCAACAACCCTTGGAACCAGCGCAACTGCTTAAACTGCTTGGTGTTTTCAAATGGGGGTTTCTTAAGTCATGGGGTATCCCCAAGTCACCATGGTTGTTTCAACACTAAGGCCTAGTCATCCTTGACGACTGGATGATTTGGGGTAGCCCCATGACTCAGGAAACCTCCGTAAAGGGTTTCAACTTTATTTGGATGTCCCAACAAATGGGATGATCTTAGCATCAATTGAAACAAAAAACAAACATATGTTTTTCAGGGTGACACCAGAGTTCTGAACCTCGCCATGGCTCAAGACGGGGGATCGTCATGCAGCTTGCCATGGAAAAAAAACATATTCAGAGATGATGTCCCTAGTAAAAATGTATATACAAATGATGATGTTCCGCAAGAAACAGCTCCAAAATCAGCTGGTCTCCACTGTCCACAATGTTTTTTTTTTTGAAACCATGTTCTTTACAGTCGTTAGAGGTGCCAAGCATCATCAAGCATTGTGAGTTTGCTGCAATCATCCTCTCGTCTGCCCGCTTAAAACAGCGGGTCGTGAGTCTTCGAAACTCTAGGTCTTCCATATCTCTTTCTGGCGCCAGGGCGCGCGTTCGGGCGCCAGTCAGCCGCGGAATGCATCTGTCAGTGCAGGGCTGGTTTCGTCAGGGTTTCTTCTTGTGGCCCCTGTGGTGTCCTTCAGATCCGCCTTGTCCGGCACATTGCTTCACTACTGGCAGGTGGCTGGTTGAAAAAAAAAAACGTTTTGCAGATGTGGGTTTTGCCTGAAATTGGGGGTGAATTCAAACCCTTGATTGATGAGTTCTGAGATTTGGAAGAATGTGCCACCAGTGCCATTTCTCGTCAAACCTGGAGTCAAAGTTGAATTTCGGGGTTCATAGCTGCGGCTGATCAGTTTCCCAGAGGATACCTGCCCCACTTGTCGGGTAGAAAAGTCATAGTCTTCCACTACTGTATGTTTGTGCGTGTTTCACTTGACGAACTACTGGACAGTTCAATGATTCTAACCAGGTCATTGCATTGATCATTGACTAGTCGCTGATGTCTGGATCTGTACAAAAAATATCAGTAAATCAAGTCCAAGTGTTTTATTTAACAGCTATCACCAGGTCTTGTCCATTATACCTCCACTTTAGCCCATTAGATCTCCCATGATATCACGTCAAATGCTTGGTTGCGGTTGATGATGTTTCATTTTTTCTCCCTGATACCCTCTGGTAATTTAACGTAGCTATTGAAAATGACCATTTATAGTGGATTTTCCCACGAAAAATGGTGATTTTCCATAGCTATGTTAAATTACCAGAGGGTATATCACACTTAAACCACTAGCATGTTTGGTTCTTTAATGTATTCCCGTGTTTTGGAAAAATCTCAGAGATCTAGCAAGGTCCTCAAAAGGTGCTAAAAATGACAGGTTTGTGCCCTTCGTCGCGCTGCATTTGACCATCTTCTACGTCTCTGCTGCCTGCATCTTCATCTTACGACGGAAGAACAAGTGGCCCGAACACACAGGCGGGGGGAAACCATGGGAAACCATCAAGTAGGCCTTGAAAGGGGAGTGGTGAAAAGGTTGGGGGGCTCGAAATGCTCAAAGGCCAAAGAAATGGCATATTACCATTTGCCAAAAATAGTTGACAGAAGTTTTATACTAGTTGTAGATAATTAGTGTGAATCTACTGGTTTTTCCTCTTCGTTATGAGGCGGCACGCAACTACGTATTTAAATTCACCAATTCTGCAAGGCAGCGCTAGCAAACCCGCTAGGTTTGCACTAGTTATTTTTTAACATTTTTTTAACATCCATGTTCAAAGATTTTAGTATGTGTTGCCGACTGCTTGGTATTTCAACATTAAAAAATAAGATATAACACTTAGCGCCTTAAACCTAAGGATGTCTTAGTGAATTTCTGTGCTACTCAACAATTTTCCATCATTTTCGTACGTATGTTTGTCGTTCAATTTGGCGAATTTATACGTCATTTTACCTGCTAGATCCCCGCTAGCAAGAGTTGCAAAATGCGGCTTTGGCTGACCCATGACCCAGTCGCCGTCAGAGAACTTGAGTTTATCCTTTCTGTTTGACAAAAGAAACAGTGCCAGCTAAGGCAACGACAAGCCTTGCAGCAGATGAACAATTCTTGAATTTCCACGACTAATAATTAGCAGCGGCAACCACTCCATATAGATGTGCGTTAGCATTTCCTGCAGGTTTTAGCTTCGGTTTCAAATATAACTCATAATGCAGGGCTTCAATTTTTTTAGATAAGTCATATGTCTTTTAATTCAAATATGAAGCGGCACACATGGAATTACGACTTATCAACCAAACCAGACAAAGACATTTTGACAAACGGTCATATGTATACAAGCAACATATGGTGGGAATGTTTCCCCAGTTCCCAGATTTGGTGGGAGAATTCGCGAGAAGCCCTATATTTTGATGATCTGTGATATCTGTGATGGTAAAATCCATGGTTTCCGGTTTTGCGAGCTCTTCTCTTACATAAATCCATTGAAACACCATCTTTGGTGGGTGAGAACACGCTTTTCCTCCTAGGTTCAATAGTTTTGGATATTTTACCCAAAGGTGTCCTCCTAAGATGTGGAAGAAACACCATGTGTAGATCATGTTGGGTGTCCCCATGAGTTGTACCCAGTCATTTTCTCATCATAAATCCATGGCTACCGTCCTGTATAACTACCATAGATGTGGAAAATTCACCATGTTTTCCATTCCAGAAAAATCTATAAACGGGCCATGTTAATCCATGTTCTACAGGTATATCATGGTATATCACAGTTTCCCCCGTGGGGTCGGATCAGGTTTTGACCCCAGCTTCGATCAGACCTTCTACATCGTAGGGCTGCACAGCTGGGGACAATGATCAGTGGCTCAGGGGGGTTATCGGCACCAAGAAATCCAAGGACCCCGAAAGCAGCATGGCCCAGATTGGTTTGTTGGTTCATATAGGGACTTTTACGACCGACCCTCTGGTAAACTAACATAACTATGGAAAGATCCACCATTTTTTATGGAAAAAAACGCTCTATAAATGGCCATTTTCAATAGCTTTTTGTATGTTTACCAGAGGGTATAATCTATTGGGCATTGATTATGATAACCAATGGTGAGGGAACTTGTTTGACCAAACCATGGAGGTATGGAGGGTTAACTGACCACTACTCAACAGGGATTCATGGTGTGAGTAGTAAGCAACATGTCTACTGGCCATTTAGGCTTTGATTGATCCTCGTTGATGCATTCCAAAAATAATAGGTCAAACCTTGGCAACGACCTTAACCTATCTTTGTTGATGGTTTCAAACATCTATTTTTTAATTTCAACCATACGACTGGATACAACTGGGATGATTTTCTCCCGAATGACGAGCTCATGTTTTTCGGTGGCACCACCAGCCAACATCAACCAGCCAGTGTTAATGGTATCAGCATGTTAACGTGATGTATCTCATCAAAATATCCCCAGCATAGATCGGAATTCCAACACCCTCTGGTAATTGACATAGCTATGGACGATTGCCCGTATAATTATAGAAGTTTACTGAGATATTTCAATATTGCCAGAGGGTGGCCCATCAAAATTCCAATGTCGCATCCAATTGGTTTATTTAGTCTTAACCCCAATTAACTATGAATATGGAGGTTGCCATACGTAGTCATGGAGATCCCCAAAAATGGACCGTGTAGAATGGAAAATCCAAACATAAAATGGATGATTTGGGGGTACCCCTATTTCAGGAAACCTCCATACTATATATACGTATATATATTACGTATATATAGTAATATATCTACCATAAATCTAATCCTTAACCTCGGCAGATAAACCTCAAGTTGGTTTTCAGTGTTGGATTTCGATCCACCACTTTTCAGCCCTCCGTTGCACGTGGCCGTGGAATCAAGGCATGGCATATGCCCATGATGGTCGCTTGGACTATGGTTGACCCTCCGGCAATCAAAAACTCAATGAAACCCAAAGTGAATAAACATGTAACCGGCTGTCCATTTTTGGTGCAGTGCTTGGTTATTGGATCAACCGGCGGGAACCGGCTCACCCGGATTTCCCCCGGATTTCTTGGTGATTCCATGGACCCCCACCACGAAACCAAAAAGCTTCTCCATGGCACGACGCGGAATTGGCTGAGATACCAATGCTCTTTTGTTTGATGAAGTCCAAAAATGTTGGCACTGGTTGGTGCTTTGGAACCATGGAATTTGATTAGACTTTCCATTCAGTTGGGAATGAAAAATCATCCCAACTGACTTTCACTACATCATTTTTCAGAGGGGTAGGTAGGTATACCACCAACCAGATGGGAATATATAAGCAACTTACTATGATAATGGGAATATAATGGCAATATATAACCAATTTACTATGATAAGGATATTGGTATACCACCAACCAGTTTATGTTTGTTGTTGAAAATCGGAGCCTAGTTTTGCCATGGTTTTGCTGGTGATGTTGCACACTTCCCAGTGAGAAATCCACCAGAGAATCCAAGTTGAGGGGATACCTGGCCATAAACATTGCCGTACATTGGGATATAAACATTATTGACCACATGTAACCACCACATCTTTTTTCCGGCCATATTATATTATATTATATTATATTATATTATATTATATTATATTATATTATATTATATTATATTATATATATATCATATTATATCATATTATTGGTAGTCTTTTCCGATATTCTATATTAGATATTAAACATATCAATGAATTGGTCCTTCTTTGTGCATGTGGTGCACGCTTCAAAGTCTTCCTCAATCAGGGTTATTTTATGTTATTTTTTGGTTACCCTTATGGAGGAAAACACGCTGCACGGAGAGAACTTAGCATGATGCATTTTGTATGGCGATACTGTGGTTTGATGCATCGACACATTGAAACTTAGAATGTCGCCTGGCCGGCATTCTAAAATACCCTCACAACAAGGTTTATGGCGGCATTCTAAATTCAAAAATCAAAATTTTGGAAAACTGGTCAGCGTTCTAAGTTTTGATGCGTCGCTATATAATATATATATATAATATATATATATATATACATATCTCACCGTTCATAGTTTATCCACTGAGGTCATGGCGTTTCCCTTGGGTCTCATGGCCACCATGGCGGGCCGAGAAGTGTGGCTCACCGGTGATCGCTTCATGGAGTATGGCTATATCTCCGACCCCTTGGTGTCGGAGGTGCGGGGCTGACCGGGGACGAGGTTGGAGGCCTCTGGTTATTGGGAAGGGATTCACATCAGGGATTGGTTGGGGCCTCAGAAAGCATGAATTTATGATCATTTATCGGGATTCTAAGGGTTTGAAGCCTCAAACACATGGGGGTATAAATGACGGTTGATTGAACTGGGAGGTTCTACATGGTGATACTACCTCACTTATTGATTGTGATAACCAATGACAGGATACCTATTAACCAACCACTCTACTGGGACGTGAATAGGGTTATTTTGCATGGTTCATTTGAGCTATGACTGAGGAATTCACCTACAAGGGTGCCCTTAAATGTTATGTTGTTGGTTTTAAAATCTATCGACATATACAATAAACCCTACTATTAACCTACTTATTACCATGAAAATATCATGATATTACTCAAAAATTAGAATGAAACAATATTAACGGTAATTATTATAGGGTATTACAAGAATTATACATTGATATACCCTGAAAATAACCAATTTTGGTGGAAGTATCCTCCATCCTCCTATTTCGCAGGGTCGTCATGTTTGCTGGGGTCGTCATGTAACTATGTATATACATATATACATACATATTTATACATCAATCAGTCTACATGGTAATCCAGCCCGGGCAATTTGCCATAGCTATCGGCCACAAAACACGTCTGACTAACCGTGGTTGAAATCGTTGGGTGATATGGGAGGATCTATATGGGGATGGCTCAATATATGCAGAACATGGGGAACATGTAATGAAACAAAACAATGGAATCACCTTGCCGCAGACTTATAGAATCTTATAGATAGGATGAAGATGGATGCCAAGAAAACAGTTGCTGATGACTGGGTGCTTGATTGTTTTCTTTGTTGCTGTATGTGTATGTATGTATATATATATATATAAAGTGGGAACTGATGCTTACCCGGCTATTTCATCGATTCAGGGTATATGAGTCCAAGAGAATCTAAGGTTGACACTGCAGATTGTGATGGCAATGAACACGAAATCCCCAGTGATTCTGCCAAGCATGGCCAATTGAATTAGATTTGGATACCTCCATTGTTGGACACATGTGTGCTCTAAAGACTTGAGGCTACCCAGGCTGGTACCCAAGGTGTTTTTTTCATGTTTTTTCTTGCTATACAGAAAGGCTGTGCTCAGATTCAGACATCAACCGGAAGAGAGTTGAAAGGATGGAGTATGGTTTTGTCCACATGATTCGGACATAGAAATCAGGAGATCCTTCCGGATCCCACCTGGTTGCAATGAAAGTGAGCCCGAGGTTTAGCGCTCTTTGAAACACGGTAAAAACATGTAAAAACTATAGTACTACTAACATGAATTATATTAATTAACATTATGAGGTTGATGATTTTCAAGAAAATGGGGATCATTCACATGGCAGTTTTCTAGAACATAGCAATGATAATCAGCAACTCCGTATCCAGTGATTTCTGTCGGCCTTCGCGACACAATCGCTCAGATTGGCACCTGGTTCATTTGTTTCATCGCCGTTGACGTTGTGCTCCTGCTGATGCATCGCTTGGGGGGCAAGGAGAGGATTCAATGGGATGCAGCTGATGTTTTGCTGAGTATTCAGCCAGTTCTATCCAAGTTTGAGAACAGTCCAGCATCACATATTATGTTGATATATGTTGATATGTTGGGTGTTTGACCAACAAACTTTCAATCGTCTCCATCCAAGATGTAGCAAGGAAGAGGTGTCATTGACGATTCCAGAAACGTTTCTGTGGATGTGGCCATGTTAGATGGGTAGCTGTCCGAAAATGGGTTACCCACGGTTACCCCCCCAAAAAAAAACATGTGACAATGGGGAACATCATGATAAACCATTGGGTATTTGGTGATATTGTCTGGGTGTAGCATATTTTCAGAGAAACTCAGATTGGTGGTTTGGAACATTTTTTATTTTCCATTTCATATATGGGATGTCATCCTTCCCATTGACTTTCATATTTTTCTAGATGGTTAAAACATATTAAAACCACCAACCAGAACTCAGAATGGCCATGTTTTTTTTGTTGAACATGTCAAATCAGAGAAATGGATGGTAGATGAACTGGATTGGTAGATCTCTGGAGATTAAAACCATCAACCAGAACTCATTAAAAACATCCCCCAGAGATTCTCCACATGTCAGGAGATCTGCCTACATCATGCGATTTTCGCCACAGGAGTGGCCACATCTCCAGTTGGATGGCGATTGAAGATCCAGCGATTTCGTTGAGTTTTTCGTAGTGATTTTACCACAAAAACTGTGACTTTAACGGACGAAGAATGTGGAAAAAACATGGAAAAACTGTGATGTTTGAGGAAAAATATGGAAAAACATGTTCATTCATATTCTACAGCATATTTGCAAGCCTAAGATGTTATCTCTGACATTCATACATACTAAGCCACTTCACTTCACTGTTATTTATGGTGTTTTCTGACCAAATTCATGGTGAGAACCAGCAGCTCGAAGCCGCGTCAGGGGCAGTGTTCTGGGTCCGACATTGCTGTGCTCCGCTCACGATGTGCATCCTGATGACCCAAGAACTCTCCACTCCATGGCTGAACCTCTTCACCCTTTGCAGAGTCTTGGTGTTGTGTAAAACGTTGATTTGTGAAATTTGTGAAGTGTGTTGTGTTTCTAAAAAAAAATGTGGTGGAAACCCAGAACTGTTTCACAATTCTCATGATGTGAAATTTCCATCCGATGTTGTTTTGGTGTATAGTTGTAATATGGTGTAATCGTTGAGCACCCAAAAAAATCCAAGTCATTTGCCCTTTACACTTGCCATATTGGCTTTGTTGAATCCAGGAAAAATGAATCATGACCGGTGAACGCATGACATGGGCTGTGTTTGCCATGAAAATTCCACACCCTCGGCTGTGTAAACAGAGGGAGCCATTGACCCAAAAATTTTCCAGACCATGGATGGCTGAGCATGTTGAAGTGGCAGGGATTGTACTATATATTATATATATATATTGATATATATTTATATTTATAGATATATATATATATATGTGTATATGTTGATATAATATATATATATATATGTTGATATAATATATATATATATATATTGTAATAATGCTAAATACATTAGGCTTCCGAGGAATTCAAAAGGCAGTGATAGTTGAGATCCCCGCAATTCGATGCTACAAGGCATTCCCCCTGATATTTCCTGACCCCCATAGTGGAAACCCTGCTTTGCTCTTGGATTTATCTTCATGTTCGGAACTGGGTTACCCTCTAGTAAATTCACATAGACCCTGAAAATAAGCAATTTTGAGTGGAAATTAATCTTCCAACCCCTATCTGGCAGGGTCTATGTTATTTTATTGGAGGGTAGTTTCAGGGGATAGGATAGAGTTGAAGAAACATGGGTTGTAAAGGGTGATGTTAAAACCATGGATTACTGGGGATTGATGAGGATAAACAGGGATTAATAGGGATTAGTGGCAATAAAACCATCAACAGGGACGAAGTAATCATATATTGATCTGTAAATAAGCACATTCGGAGGGATGAATTATGATGAATTTCCGTTTGCCGTCTATTTTGGTTCTTAGTAAATCTTAACAAAAGGGGCAAACAAGTCGGGTGAAGTGACCGATTCAAAACATGGCCATTTTTGCGGGACCTCGTTGGGAGCCCTTCCGACTCTCGCCAAGGAGCTTACAAAGGTCTCTCGTCCATCTGGACGCAGGGTTCGTTTCTGATCTTTGCGGTGTTGTTCTACATCTTCCGCGTCTTCTTCAATACCTTTGGCTGCTGAGATTTAAGCTTAGACTCGGCGGGAAATGGGTCGAAAGAGAGTTCGGAACGAAATTCGAACGGTTCTATCTTTGTTGGTCATTTTGTGGCACGACCTCATCCGATTTTGTGTGCCATGACCATGACATTGTTCCAATGTTTCATTCTTGGGGATAAACGTGCTGTTTCTTCATTCCAACCAGACTTCGTGTATGATGCTTACGTTGCTAGCGTTTGGCAGGATCCACAACCAACGCAGCCAAGGGATCCACCAAGAGCTCTTGGAAACTGCTCAGGTTTCTTCTGAGAGTCAGGTCTGTTGAGTCATGCTGGTTTCATCCAGAAAGGATCCTCCATCCAACAAAAAAACCGTTCTTCCTCCCAGAAAATTGTCACCTTTCCATCGCAGATAGATGCTCATTGGGGTTGAAAGATGATTTCGTCCTTGGAAATGGCACAGTTTCAGGTTTCAGGGATGTAATTTCAGCATTTGTCCATGTGTGCAAAGTTTCTTGGTGTCACATTACAAGACATTGCATTTGTAAATATTTAATGGCGAATCTCGTATCCATGTGAATATCTAGTCAGCGATTACAAACTCCTGCCGACATCCCTAGATGATGGGCTAAAAACTGAAATTTGAAACATCTACTTACGGTGAGAGTTGATGTATGAACCCCATTGCTGTAGCTAGTTCGTTATATCCCCCATAAACCATAGAATTCACCAAGTTCTGTGCGTCAAGCTGATCGTTTCGAACTTGGAGGATCATCCTACTTAGTCCCCGATTCGTGGTTGTTGTCCATATATATGTAGGTTTTAACCTGTTTTAGCCCCAGTTACTAGCCAGTTACTTGGTGTTAAAACCTAAGTGTGGAACAACCCATGTGTTTTAACCAGTTAACTTCAATTAAGCAGTGTTTAAAAATGTTGTGACATGTTCCCTGCAAACCCTACATTTGACCGTGGCGGAAGTCAAGTGAAGTTCAGAGGGGGTGGGGGATTTGATCCCTAATGAAAAGTGGAAGCTAATAAACCATTCAACATGTTTGTTCAGAGGGGGCAGGGGATCTGATCCCTTATGAAGATTAGATTTCCCTAGTAGAAAGTGTCCCTGTTAAACTTATGAATGTCTCAGCCGGATATCAGGATTGTTTGAAAGCAGCAGGCTACCGTCCTTACTTGCGTCGCCAGAGAGTAGCGTGCTTGTAGGGTGTAGATCATGTTTGGAGGGTATAGAGGAGAGATCTTGTGGGTTATGGTCGCACGTGGGGTTTGGCGCCAATGTTTTAACCAGTTTCTAAGCGCGTCGATCCTCCAAGTTATCACCGACAGTTCTCGACTGAGGCACTGTGCATTTCCTCTGCGAGGTGCTCCATGGTTTTTGGGGAAGCCCCGCCTTGAGAATGCCCAGGTGGGGACTTGGGGAAAGTCCTAGAAAGTCTCCGGAATGTGGAAAATCGTTCAGACATGTCATGCATGTATATATATAATATATTTTTATATTTATATAATCATATATCTATATAATTATTGTTTATATGATATATATATATATATGTTTTTTGTCTACCTTTTGAAGATTGGAGAGTTTGAAAAAAATTACTTTACTTCGTGTGATCCCCACCGTGACATTTTTACATTTTCTTACTGGCAAATCTTCTGGCGTTCTATCTGACATATCTTCTGGCATTCTATCTGGCAAATCTTCTGGCATTCTATCTGGCATATCTTCTGGCATATATTCTGACATATCTTCTGGCATTCTATCTGGCATATCTTCTGGTATATCTTCTGGCATATCTTCTGGCATATCTTCTGGCATTCTATCTGGCATATCTTCTGGCATTCTATCTGGCAAATCTTCTGGCATTCTATCTGGCATATCTACTGGCATATGTTATGGCATATTTTCTGGCATTCTATCTGGCATATCTTCTGGCATATTATCTGGCAAATCTTCTGGGATTCTACCTGGCATATCTTGTGTCATTCTATCTGACATTTTATCTGGCATACCTTCTGGCATTCTATCTGGCATATCTCATGGCATTTTATCTGGCATATCTTCTGGCATTCTATCTGACATTCCATCTGGCATATCTTCTGGCATTCTATCTGGCATATCTCATGAGGTCCGGCAGGGAACACTTGGCGTGGATACTCGCGGTTGAGGTCCGGCAGGGAACACTGGGCGTGGATGGTCGTGGTTGAGGTCCGGCAGGGAACACTGGGCGAGGATGGTCGTGGTTGAGGTCCGGCAGGGAACACTGGGCGTGGATGGTCGTGATTGAGGTCCGGCAGGGAACACTGGGCGTGGGTGGTCGTGGTTGAGGTCCGGCAGAGAACACTGTGGATCGCGGGTCGCAGTTGAGCAAGGACGATGAGGACGACAAGGACGACAAGGACGACAAGGATGACAAGGAGGACGAGGAGGAGGAGGACGAGGAGGACGAGGCAGGAGGAGGCGGAGGAGGAGGAGGAGGAGCAGGAGGAGGAGGAGGAGCAGGAGGAGGAGGCAACTGACATAAAATCTAACAACCCTCACCTGGCAGGTGGGGAAAAACATGTTGAACTCCTAGTTTGGGGCGCTATATTAGAAACTCAAGATTGAAGTCCTATAGCTCCAAAGTTCAAGTCCCATTTGGGGTGTTGATCCCAGTTCATATCAGCTATAAGAACTCGGTTTTACCAACGAAATATCATAATACACCCCCAGAAAAAAAGATATATAGAATATGATTTAAAACCATATATAGAACCATAATATGCTACAACGAAGGCAAATGATGGTTCTATATTATAGAACCATCATTTGCCTTCGTTTTAGTAGCATGCTTCATTGATTTCACTGCCTCCAGGTGGGAAGGAGTTGCCTCAGCCTTGGTGATGCTGTGCCTCGTCAGTGCGTACAGGTTATGGATGTGGATTTAGCAATACAAATGGTACTAACAGTGATAATTTGTGGATTAGTAGTATACCATAAATGATTAATGACAACTAACAGTTTAGTGATTTAGAAGATTCTTATCACTTACTAGTAGCAATGTTGATTATGTTGATTAATTACTTAGCAATACTTAAATGTTGATGATGTTCATGTTTTTTCTTGGCTATCAATCTCCAGAAACAACTTGCAGTTCTTGGCACACGTTTCTTGCGGTGCTTGGAGCTACGTTCTTTGCACGGTTGGTGTAACCGTTTGAAAATTATAAATATCATGGAGATCAATGCACCTATTGGAAATTGCAATGTTGGGTTTCTTTCTGAATTTTCCGGCGTGTATCCGGTGGTATCCCCTGATGCATCTGATGGAATTATCCATGACATAGCCACAACTCATGACTCGCGAATTGGTTTGGGGTCAACGTATATCAGCGTGCAACACCCAAACGAAAGTGTGGTATACATTGGTATATGGTATACGTGAACACTTCCTGAAATGGCCTAAACAACTCATGCGTGCTGCTCTGGGCCCTGGGTTTGTCCAAGAATGAGATTTTCCTGAAATAACTCGGTTGTATGTCATCTTATTGTGGGGAAAGTTTAAACCATGGGCCCATGGGCTTTGAAATTCACCTATTCTCAAGCAAACCCATGTCAAATGCTGTTGGTTTCCCTCCGAAAATAATAACTCCATCGGTTTGGGGCCCCTTTGCCAGGGCCCAGTGGTCTCTGCAGCAACCTGGTCGCAATATTCCGGTGACTATATTTAAGGATTAGTTTTTGTTGTACATAAAGCGACCTATTGGTTCCAAAGTTATTCAACACTTAGTGGTTGTTTTAAGGAATGTAAACATTGACCCATCTGCGGGCTTCCCAATTTTGATCAGACATATAATATAGATGAACTACAACACGGCGGAGTTATCATGTTTGCCACGCATCGCGAGGTTTATGTGGTTCAAAACCTGATAAATGGCCACGAAGCATTGGTTTGTCAGGGTACCCCCAAATAAATTCTACATTGTCCATATTTGTTTGACAATAAGATGTTTGACATAAGTGACATAAGTTTCTCCGTCAAAAAATTGCTATGTAACTTGATTTCCTAGCCATTTCATCCCTAGATTCAACCCATCAACTAGCCAGTCTGCAGAACCCTGGTTGGGTGGTTGGGTCAGGATCTACTGGGCTCGGAAGATCGCGCTGAAGTTTTATCATAGCATCCAAAACCGAGAAGCGAATTGAGGGCTACATGTTCGGTCCATGGAAGGATGGACCGGATGGATAAATTGTCATGACTTTCCGGGAGGGAAAACAACAACAAACTGTTGGGTGATCAGTTGATCATGACTTTCCCCTGTTAAAATGCAGTAAATCTGGGGGAATAGACCCCCAGACAAAGCCATGTGACCAGAGTGGAATTGGCGTTTGATGTTTCCAGCCAAAGTGTTCATGGTCCATCATGCAAAGCAGTGAAGCCGATGTGTCCTGAGAAGTGAGTGTCAAAAGAACACCAGTTGTTGAAATAGGCTTTATCCCTCAACCAGACATGGTTCATGCAATTGTTCATGCAATTTGAAATACCAATTTTGGAGATTTTTGGATGGGAGAGACATCTAGATTTCTAGGCTATGTTAATGTTCATGTTATGTGTCATTGCCAGGTGAATACCCCAGGGATCCTGATGATTTTTTTGCCTCGTGCTTTCGTTTTTTTTTAAAACGACTTTTCTCGACGGGTTTTTGTTGTGTTGTTGAACTTTATCTTGCGCCTGTGTTTGTTTCATATTATATGATATTATATGTGAATATGCCTTTTATTATGTGGGGTGGGGTTGGGTTGGCCTGGGGTGGGATGTTAGCATTCGGTTTAATCTGATTCCAATGCTGATGCTGCGGTGATGATGGGACTGATGATACGATATGGTGATGATGTTCTGTCGCAAAATGCGATTTCGGTCGTTGGTGCACGGTCAGTCGTCATCATGGCTGTCACCTATCGGTGCGTTCGTGACCGCAACGGTGGCAAGGTCTCGACCGTTACGTTCATGCGGAACGCATGCGCGTTTCAAAATGCGAAGCAGTGAGCAACAAAAGTGTGGAAAACCGTAGACGTTTTTTTTTTATGTTTGTCGTTATCATGTGCGCACTCTGCGGCAAATCTGCTTGTCGAAATTGCCAAACTGGCTTAACTGGCTTAAGATAATTTATGCCGAGCAGAAAAACATGAGGTGCAGTGTAGGCGCAACTTTGCTGGTGCCCTTGATTTGAACCCTCAAGGCTAAATTACGAGAAAATTATTGTAAAACCCCAAGGCTAAATACCAGCTCGTGACCTTCTTTCAGGTCAGTGAATTGCTATAATTTTCCATAATTTAGGTAGGTATAATTAGGTCATTTCACAATGTACCCTCTGGTAAACTAACATAGCAATGGAAAATCACAATTTTTAATGGGAAAATCCACTATAAATGGCAATTTTCGATAGCTATGTTAGTTTACCAGAGGGTATGGCTTCTTTTCATGATTTATCATGTTTGTCCCCTCCCCCTTGGCTCCAGGACTTGGCGCAGTCTCGCAGAATTCCAAAAAGCGGTGGCTGAAAATGAACGCCCAGGGGCGTGGCGGGCCGGTTGACCGGGGTGTGTCTGAACATGTTGAGAAAGCCCAGTCCCCAGAAGATCCCATAGTTTAAACATGTTTGAAACATCACGTTTCTCTCTTTTTTTTAGTTATGGGGTTGCACTGTATCCATCTGTATACCTCAGTTTTGCACAAAGCCATAACGTTGCAGTCACTATGGGCGCAACGGGTTTATCCTTCGAGGTTTGATTCAAACAAGGGAATGATCCTTAATTTTCATGGTTGCCTAGTTAACCACCTATGTCCACTCTTCAGAATCCAGACTCTCCGGATTTTCGGTCAGAGCACATACATATCTGGTTGGTGGTTTGGAACATGAAATTTATGTTTACATATATTGGGAATAGTAACCCCAACTGACGAACTCATATTTTTCAGAGGGGTAGGTCAACCACCAACCAGCATGTGTACAGTACGTTACATAATAATACAGCAATATAAATCAGATGACATATACACAATTATACACACATCCGCAATCATCCGCATAAGATGGTTTTTCATACCCCACTTACAAAATATAGATATACCATGATATACCATCTATATCCATAGAAACCTTAGTAATCCCTAGTATATCCGATGAACTATTCCAATCATCAAACAGTGTAACAGGCGCCATGGCTGTCCAAAATTCCACGGCGCCCAGGTGGCGGGGCTTTTACCGTGGCGCTCTTTTCGGCACCTTCGCCCTGCTGTTTGGGAGACCCAGAAGGACCCAGGAGGACTGTGGGATCTGAGCGGTTGCTTCATCGTTCAGCAAGTTAAAAATGTGTCTATCCTCACCATGGTTAGTGGGGGATATATTTATAAGTAATTACGATTTATTATTAATTAATTTTACATTGGTTTGTGGGGGATATGTGAATGTATGTATATACTATATATATATATATACGTAATTGTATATTATATATGTATAATTATATATATATATTATTATTATATATATATATATAACTTAAGAGAAAAAACGTTTTTGATTTTGGTTGTTGATGAGTCAAACATGTAACGAATCAGGGTTGAATCCTCATGACGGCGAACCATAGATGGCCGAACTGCTGTAGGGGGGAAGATCCTTTGAAAAAATACATCAAAAGGCCGAACTGTATAATCTGGATGTATTGATATATAATCCTTTATATATCTGGATATATTGTTTGAATTGAGTTAGATATATCTAGAGATATTGTATTTCGCTAAGCAAAATTCGACGAATGGTCTTAAAATGTCAACCTACCCAAGGTATGAAAAACAACCAAATCGTGTTCTGCAACCCCGAAACATTGGTGTCCAAACGGTCAGTCCAACTGTGGACGTCCACCCAGTAGTCGCATTTTGGGTACGTTCCACTGATGGAATCCTGGAATCCCCTCCTGTATACATGACTTATGAAGACTAATGTGTCATTCAATCGATACAGACATTTGGTTGGTGGTTTGGAACATGTTTGGAACATTTTTATAATCTGGATTTACTGATATATAATCCTTTATATATCTGGATATATTGTTTGAATTGAGCCAGATATATCCAGAGATATACATTTTTTTATGACTTTCCATATATTTCATATGGGAATGTCATCATCCCAACTGACTTTCACTGGTCAAGCACCAACCAGGACATTGGTCCCATTCACCGTTAGGCCGGGGCATTGCGTTTGGTACTTGGCCTACGAAGGGCTGGGCGCCTCAGGAAAAAAAATCGTTGGTGCCAATAAATCCATAAAAACCATGGGTTATAAGGTGATATATCTATATATCTATAGCTAATGGGATTATAACCATAGTTAATGGGATTATATAACCATATATATATATATAGTTAATGGGATTATAACCATAGTTAATGGGATTATATAACCATATATATATATATCTAGTTAATGGGATTATAACCATAGTTAATGAGATTATATAACCATATATATATATATATCTATAGTTAATGGGATTATAACCATAGTTAATGGGATTATATAACCATAGATATATCTATAGTTAATGGGATTATAACCATAGTTAATGGGATTATCTATAGTTAATGGGATTATATAACCATAGATATATGTATAGTTAATGGGATGATAATTCATTTTTTCACTGGGGGTACCACCTTGTAGGGAATGCTTTGGAGATGATCGTAGTAAAAACCATAGGTTTATAGACCTTCCCTTCAGATCTGAAAGTAGATCAATGTCAACGCCTGTTTTGATATAGTTTATCAAGCAAGGTATGTTCATTTAGATTCTATGTTTAACTCTAAACCATATATCCCAGTGGATAATGGAGATATCTAGTGTAAAAGAACATAGTTTCCGGTAGAGTTTCTTAAAACCCTCCATTGAATCCCCATTTTTAGCTTTGGTGAACCATTTCTATAAACATCACCCGAAGACTGGTGAACTTCCAGGCTTGGAATCATGGTGATTTAAAGTAAGGCGTAAACCATCCCCAAATTTACCATTTTGTTACTGTAATATATATATATATGTATATATATATACATATAATATATATATACATATAATATATATATATATATGTATAATTATTTGCATATATGTATATATATATATATTTATGTGTGGTAGAAACCATGAAAATATACGAACATATGGGGATTGTTTATGACAGTTCTTTACTCTAAATTCATCTGAACTATGCGACCCTAGAAGCACTGCTTCTCCAGATCCACATCGCAGGTCCAAATGGCACCTCACTCCCTTCTTCCCGGAGCGAACGGCCCCTGCCGCCGCGGCTGCGGTGGCCGAATGCCCGAGCACCTGAGTTGCTAAGGGGGGGAAATCCATAAATGGGGGCACACCCAATAGCTGGAGGGTTTTTATAGCTTAAAAATCCGAACATAAAATGGATGATTTATAATTTATATAGGGGTAATTAGCCCCATTTTAGGAAACCTCCACAAAGGTACCCCCAATACTTGCTGTTGAACGAAGCCCTTATTGGTGATTGTTGATGGTTCATAAACCCTTAATGAAGTCATTTTGGTGCTGAATCTGGGAAACCGCATGATACAAATTCCGTTGCCAAGTTTGATTACCAGTAATTTCTGATGGATCTTGACTGTCAAAGCAGAGATGTCAGTAATGTGAGAGCGTGCATCGATGAATTTGTTGATATTTTGCCCTAGGGTATGGCTGGTTCATGGCTTGGGTTATTTTAAATATTACTTGGGCTCGGGAAGAGATTGGAAAAAACATCCTAACCACATGCTGGGTATATAAATATAACTTGTATATGTATATATTTAAATAGCAACCCTCAAAAAGACAGAACAGTTGGACACCTGGAAACTGGGAAAACATAATCTAGAATGTCTATATAATTATAGGTACATATCTGTACCATCCTAGAAAGAGACATGTTTCTATTTTTTCGGACCCCCAAAAATCCTTAATCAAAGATGGCGAGAAACAGTCGCATGTAGTTCGATGGTATACTTCAATGGTATCTTTCCAATTAAACGCCCGTTTGGGATTTATTAATCCAGGGTTGACATTGTTCGATATGTTTTTATTCCCCAGTCAGGATTTCCTTCATCGCCATGTTTGATAGTGCGCTTCCAAGGTTGCTACGTCGCCTGCGCAATGCCTGTGGAGAATGTACCAGCCACAGGATCACTGCTGTGCTGATGAAAAATGTTGAACCATATTTAAGAAATCATCCATTGATGCAGTCATTGGATTGGTTTAAGGGAAAATCTACAGGAAAGCCCTATATTTCATGGTAAAAACCATGGTTTCCTGTAGATTTTCCCATCAACCAATCCATTGATGCAGGTGATTTGGCGAAAAATAGGGAAATTGAATAGGTAATGATAAAGAATGTCACGGATTGTTCTGGGTGTCGGCAAAAGATATTCACATTTTTCATGGCCAAATTGGATCGTTGGATGATCTGTCAAATTGCAATGGAAATCTCGATTTATGAAGGGTTTTGGGATCAAAATTGTGAACGGCAAATGTTTGTTGGAGGGTATACATACCAGTTGCACAGCGAGGTCGATTTTGGTGTTGTGTTCTGAATTGCGCTGGACATGTTTTTTGCAGTGTCTCTACACAAATGGGCAATCTTTCTCAGGTTCCATTAGATACTATTCTGGTCCATGGCTTTCTCGATGTTTCGTCAATGAAATCTGTCAACCTTTTCAGGCTCTTATTCTTTGGGAATGAGATGGGATTGTTTAGAAAAGTGTTTTTCGAAAAAATCCCCTTAAATCATCTTAAATCGTGAACATCAATGGTATTCCAATGGTTTCCTTTCAACAAAACCATTTCATTGAAGCCACCAGGTGGTGGTGCGGATCCAATGTCGGAAAGCCTCCGCCAGGGATCCTAGGGTCGTGTTTTGGTGCTTGTTGTAATGGCGAGGATCGCAAGCACCAGCGCAGAATCATGAGAACAATATAATATGATGATATGGGGATGGGTCAATACCTATGATTACCATATTTGCGGGAATAACCATCTATTCACCAGCTATTTTAGAATACCTAGGGTACCAGGGTTTTGACCCATAACCATGTAGAAATCCCCAAACGTGGATAGAAACGTGTTTCCAGGATGGTATAGATTGTATAGATGATGATGTTTTCCCAAGAATTTGTATGGGGGATGCTATAATGAATTAACGTCATAAGTCTGATAAGAGAGCGATCGCGCAATGCAATGGTGAGAACAGTGATAGACAGAAAAGAACATGTATATGTAAAAAGACGAAAAACAATGTATACAAGTGGTACTGATGATGACAACAATGACAATGACAATGACAATACCTCTGGTAATTTAACATAGCTATTGAAAATGGTCATTTATAGTCGATTTTCCCATGAAAAAATGTGATTTTCCATAGTTATGTCACTGTAGTTTACCAGAGGGTAATGACAAAAGGTTGATCATAATGATCATTATCACCATCACCACCATCTTCACCATCATCACCATCTTCACCATCATCACCATCGTCCATGTACCACCACCACAATCATTGTTATCAGCCACGATCAGTGTCACCGTCTTGAATTGTTGTCAGAGTTCTCAGCTAATGTTGTCACCAAAGCCATCAGGACAATCTACAGCACAAACACAGTACATGTGTGTGTACCCCAGTTACATCTTGGTTTACGACCCCTCTATATCTATCTTGGCAATCAATCATTGTGGTCATTGCGCGTGGAAAATCAACCATTTTGAGATGATGTTGATGTATTGTACCCATTGAACATACGGAACATCTCTCAGTGTCATCTTATACCCATTGAATCCCATTGATAGAGTACGTTCATCTTCATTCCAAACTTTCTAAACGTTTGGATTTTGCGTTGCTAGGCTAGGTGTTCAGGAAGTAAGGGGTATCGTTTTCAGGAGCCAAGTAGGGAGGCCCAAAATGATCCTTTGAAGAGATCCCATTCAACCCATCGTCATGGGTCATCATCGCACTCCAAGAATCACGGTATTTTGATGTATTTTGGAGATGGGGAATGATGGGATCTGGTATGACATGGAAGGAGTATATGTAAAGCATCGTAAAGCAATAGGATTTGAAAATGGCTGGGATTCCATCAATCTATATTAGAGTGGTTTATGAAAAGTTTATGACATGGCTTTACCATTTAACATCGATTATAATTTACCTTTACCCATCTGTTGATGGGATTTTCCATGGAAATAAAGCAGGGGACTCCGCGAGGCCCCTCAGCTGCGTTGGGGCGTGCGGGACCTGGACCATGGGAGGGTGAACCACCATGGGAAACAGATAGCCAAATAACTGGTTGGTGGTTTCAAACATGTTTTTTTCCATTTCATATATGGGATGTCATCCTTCCCATTGACTCATAGTTTTAAAGATTGTTATTGCACCACCAACCAGAATAGCTCTGATGTATGGCTCTAATGTCTACTGGTTGGTGGTTTGGAACATGAATTTGATTTTTCCATATTAGGAATAATCATCCCAACTGACGAACTCATATTTTTCAGAGGGGTATGTATACCACCAACCAGATATAGTTTTGCAGCTCCCCTGTTCCAAGCAGCCATAGTTCATGAGAGCCACATACTTGAGTGACATTTAATCAGTCTTGCAGCCTCCCAAAGACCTGCCCTTAGCGATGACCATGTCAGACCTGCTCATTTCCATCGCAGATGGCCACATTATAGACTTATCATACACAATATGTCAAATTATTGGAATATAATAGTTGTTTATTATCAAAATTGTCAAAATACTTGTCAAATTATTACTAAATAGTTGGAATATGTTTAGATATTGTCATTACTGTTGCAGCTAACATCAACAACTCCATCATCTCCATCCAGGCGCCATTTAGCTCAAGCTAAGGGCCATGGTTCGTTTCTGCAAAATGTCGTATCCATGAGAGAAGACGCCTGGGCGCACTTCGCCCAGGGCGTTCTCAGCGCAGAACTCGATGCCGCCGAAGCGCAGATCCAGCGGCACTTGCGACTGATGCAGCTGGCGGCACCGCTGGTGGCTGTGCTGTCTGGGGCTTCTTTGCCGAAATTGCAAGTTTTTGTTTTTTTAATGGTGGTTGTGCGGTGGTTCTATGGTGGTTTTATGGTGACTTTATGGTGGTTTTAGGATGATCTTATGGTCTTTATGGTGGTTTCATGGTGACTTTATGGTGGTTTAAAAAGGTATTTTGATTTGCTTAATGTGTTTACGTTGTGTTTTTGATGGTTGTGCAGCACTTAAAGTGGGAATAGAGAACCACCAAAATATTAGGATTTCACAAACAACTTATGAGAATATATGAGAATGAGAATATTGTTGCATGAATTGAGAGCTAGAAATGGGCAAGCACCAGCTAATGAACATTACTGGATAGAATGAAATATAGAATATAATATAGAATGTAGATGATATCGTGTACATATAGTGTGTATATATATATATACACATGATATACGATCATATGATACCACACATGTGGTTTTTTATCCTCCAAAATGAGGTGACCAGTGATTTCAATCCATAGACGATGGATGCACTCGACTATTGAAAATGGCCCATTTATAGTGGATGTGTCTATTAAAAATGGTGATTTTCCATAGTTATGTGCCTTTTTACCAGAGGGTAAATCAAAGAGTTTCAGGAAAAAAGACATGCACCGATGATTTAACTATGGTTGATGGTGAATATCCACTTCTGACCGCCTTGCTGTCAGTGACGAATCGTTTCGCCCAAAAAGGCGTTGCACGCCTATGGCATGGCACTGCGAAAACGTCACGGAGAGGCCCCATATTGGACCAAGCAGGGCTGGTGGATTGGTTTGCTCATGGATCTTTTGTGAGGCGGGTCCAGTGGTGGTTTTGGTGGATCTCCACAGCAAAACTATAACTGCTTGGTGCTTTGGAACCATGGAATTTGATGACTTCCCCAATAGTTGGGATGATGATCTTTGGCTTTCATATTTTTCAGGGGGGTTGTAACCACCAACCAGATAATTCAAAAAAAGTTGGTATTAGTACTATGGTTGACTATAGAGGTGAATATATGGTTAACTAAGGTTGACTACGGTTTTTTGATGGATTTGTTGGAGATGATATATATATATATATATATACATACATATTCGCAAACATTGGGTGATGTTTAGTGGGGACATGTACCCCTGTTTTTCGTGGTTGCTCAATGTAGCTCAAAAAATTGGCCATTTTTTTAACCCAGTGCTGGTTCAAGCCTCCTTTTTGGCGCTTAACTTTCAAGTTTGCTTGAATCTTAATGTTTCATTGCAGAATCCCAATTTTCATGGTTGCTGAATAATCCTTTTCGTTGGTTGATGAAAATTCATAGAGGGGTCGCCCTTTTGAGGTAAATAACTATAAATGGTACAACACACCGGCCAATCTATTTTCCTCAAAAGGAGGTCAAGCCTAATGGTCGCATATATATCCCACTATATCCCGTATCTACCAGGTGGCAGGTATCCATATATTCCATGATAAACCCGTTCTATGAACCATTGCGAAGCCCGTTATAACTGTAGCTGACCATAGTGAACCATATTTACCCATAGTTAACCATAGTACATACCCACTATATTAATTATAGTTAATGTGGATATCCACCATAGTATTAATCACAGTATTAGTATTAACCCATAGTTTATCATAGTTACTACATATCCATTGTATGAACCATAATTAACCATAGTGACCCATCATATTTCCACTATATGAATCATTATATACCCATGATATATCCCATATAACCATAATTGACCATGGTATTCATCATAGCTAGCATCATAGTCAACCATAGTTATTGTTTTTGCTTTGTACATGATGTTATATATATATATATATGTGATATTATATATATGTGATATTATATATATATATATGTGTATAAATCATAGCTATCCCTGTTGTAACCATAATTAACATTAGTTACATAACCCATATTTAACCATAGTAAACCCCCGTAATTATATTAGTTCCAACCAGAGTTAGCCATAGTGACCCACAGTTAAGCATTAAACATAGTTTATATTAACGGATGTTGACCATAGCTGACCATACTGAAGCCTTCTAATATGCACATGTATATATATAATATATATATATAATATTACTGTTAGTAGGTATCCCATCATGTATTTCATGATATTCCATCGTATTAACATAGTTGATTCCATGATATTCCATGATCTTCCATGATCTTCCATGACCAATATATTCACATCATATTAACTTTTGGTGAAGTCCATGAAAAAACCATAGTTACCCATAGATATAACATGTTATAACCATAGATATAACCATAGATATAACCATAGATATAACATGTTATAACCATAGATATAACCATAGATATAACCATAGATATAACCATAATTAACCATAGTTATAACCATAGATATAACCATAGATATAACCATAGATATAACCATAGATATAACCATAGATATAACCATAGATATAACCATAGATATAACCATAGATATAACCATAGTTCACCGGTAACATTCCTCTCTTAGCGTTCCCATCGTGAGAGGCATTTGCTTCAGCTTGGCCACGCCACTGATGGCGGTGGAGCTCTTGGTCCCGCTGACCGCGGTGGCGCAGTTGGCCACGGCCTTTCTCTGCGGCGTCTGCCTCTTCCAGGAGCGCAGCACGGTGATGCAACAACTGGGCTTCGTGCCTTGGCAGCCTTGGCACGGTGAATTTTTTTGGGATTGCTTGGCAAGAGTCTACAAGAGTCTTACCCTCTGGTAAACTAACATAACTATGGAAAATCACAATTTTTAATGGGAAAATCAACTGTAAATGGTCATTTTCAATAGCTATGTCAGTTTACCAGAGGGTAAGCAAGGAAAACTTGGATTTACTGGTAAAAAAATGTGGGATGTCACCAAGAAAAGTAGGGTTTTAACCAAGAAAAGTCAGGAATTCACCAAGAAAATGATGATAGCAATGGATGTCAATGGGATATACTGGTGATCTTTAAATATTGTTTGAGTAAGAAAATGATGTTTAGCATCCAACAATGAACATGTTGGCCCAACATGGGGATATGATATGATAGGATGATATAGGATGGGGATTTGAGCAACAAAACGTTGTCATGTTAACCAAGCAAATGGTGATATAATGGGTGTGTGGCCAGGAAAATAGACGGATAATGGCAATGGCAATGGTTAAGTTACCAAACAAATCCATCATTTAACCAATTATCCATCAGTATCCATCATTATTCCAATATTAGGGACTGATATTAACCGTTGAATTATCCTGTATATGTGTTTCCATTATTGTCCATCATTGTTAATGAATGTTCATCATTATCCCAATATCGTGATTATTATCCCAATGTGGGCATAATCTGGCTGAACTGAAGAATTCTTGAACCATATTATGGTTCCAATGGTGCACAACTGCCAGTCGACCATATTGTGAAACAATGATGGGGATCAGTTGGCAGTTAGTATGATATTTTGTGGTGACAACATAATAAGATCTTTCATGACTTTGGACACTTCTGTCATGAAAGGTATATAGATACATATGGATGAATGTTAATTCATTTTTCTGGACAACGCAGCAACATGAACAGGGAAAGTGTTGGTGGTGGGAAATGCCACTGGAAATAGTGCAAAAATAACCTACCATGAATCATTAGGGGCTCAGTCTGAAATTCTGTTTTTTTTCTTATTGGTGGGTTGTCCATATAAGGTGAGGCCCCCCAGTACTAAGTTGGTTTGTTAATTCCATTACCCATAGATAAATCCCCCAAATTCCCCCAATAAACCCAACCGTTAATCAAATTCAAATTGTAACGTAGCTATCGATCTATTCCAGTGATATTCCGGGAGCTCACATCCCGGGGTACCCTCTGGTGACCTAACATAGCAATGGAAAATCATTTTTCATGGGAAAATCCACTATAAATGGCCATTTTCCATTGCTATGTTAGTTCGCCAGAGGGTACCCATGGGTACCTTCCGTGCGGATTCAGGTCCTGTCCGTGACTGCCGTGGTGCTCTTGGGCAGTGCCACCTTTCAGCAGCGGTGCTCCTTTCACGTTGGAGCCCACCATTCGGCGCGCTTCTGGAAGTTGTGGTTGAAGCCGCAGCTTGGTCAAGTTGTGGGAAATCGTTGCTGGTGGTTGGTGAGCATTGGATGTGTATGAATACATGTATACGTATTGTGTATATTTTATATATATACACCATATGCATGATATTATATAATAGATGTATGTATATATATATATATAATGATATACAATATGTATATAATATGTTTATCATATATATATATATAAATACATATGTATACGTATGTATGTAATGTAATGTGATGTGATGTGATGTGATGTAATGTAATGTAACGTAATGTATGATAATGTATGTATGTATTTGCATCTCTATATATCCCATATTTGGAGAATCCAAGCTACTGTATCATGGATGAATATCACAGTAGAAAATATGTACTGTAAGCACTGCTTAAGGATCAAAGGTCAGCCAGGGAACACGAAGATGACGCCCAGTGAATGCAGTCAATTTCTCTTTCTAATATATTCTATGTTATTATCAAATACACATAATATCTACTGATCAGTTACCAAAGATCCAGGCACGTTTCCTCAGATTGGCCATGGCCCATCTCTTAGGCACGTCCTGTATGTTCACGCCTTCTGGCTGGGCAGCACCGCCAGTTGCTTTCTGCTCATCAGCCACGCCACCAGCTTCGCGGTGCTCTCGGCCTATTTCGATGGCATGCAGCGCCATGGCGGACCTCACTGTGACACTGGAATCATAAAAGGAATCATCCCTAAACAGCCTTGCCATCTGGTTATTTAACACAGAGCCATGGAAAATCACAATTTTTAAATATTTTTAAGAACGGTAAACCATCTACTGGTAGTTTCCCCTGGATAGGGAGATGTTAGCATAACTGCATGTCCCTAACTTGGCTGAATTCTGTGTCCATCCGGGTCGACCATCCCTTTGGCCGTACATCGTTACTGGGGGATGGGATTCGTCAGCCCGACATCTTGGAGCCACGGCGGGGTTGCCACCCCAAGAATACTCCCTTGAAATAATCAAACATAGCAATTGAAAATCCTACATCCACTGTTTTCATTGGGGTTTGCTAACTATCCGGCTGATTCTCCCATGATTCTCCACCGGGTTGGGCCGGGCCTCAGGTTCCTCTTCACTCGCACCATGGCCGCCATCCTAGAAGTCACCTCCAAGTTGGAACACGCCCTGCTTGCGCCTTGGAAATCAGAGATTTAAAGGGACCCTTTTCTTCGCGAGAAAACTCAAGATTTTACCAACATTATATTATAATCATATATATATATATATATTGATAGGGTGTGTAACTCCACTATGGGATTTGTTCTGGATGTCAATCACTCCAGTTGCCGGGACCTCACTTTGTGAAACTGAATGATACCGGTATGAATGGTGCTAAACATTGGCTGCGGTGAGGGAGCTCTCTTTTGTTGGACTTCAAGATTTTCCAGGCAAATTCTTTGGACGATGCGACCCAAATGATTGACCTGATCTGTTTGTGGATCTCATTCATCCTGTCCATTGGGCTGCTTTCAATGATATCCTCTGGCAGTGCTCGACAGGTGCAACTGGCAGTTGGGAAGGCCTTCTGTGCCATTGCGGCCATCCACTGGCAACAGCATGCGCTGGGAGAAGAAGATTTGACGACCATCGGCAGCGTGCTTCCTTTGTTGCAGAGCCCCGGCTGTCGGATTTTGAGCCGTTTTTTCACTCGGTTTTGTGGCGATGGGAGTGGATCCGAATGGACTACATCATGGAAAACAACTCAGACTTGGTGAATTTCTAGATTATATGCAGAATTAATGTTAAGATATGTTGAGTTATGTTAATTTGAATTTGCCCAGCTTCTTGTCCGCGAGAGTGCGGTGGTGGTTGGGATGCCTATTTTGAGACGAGCCCGAAGCCGTGGGTCCATAGGTTGCAGATAAGCAACCTATTTCCCAAACTTCACTCACTACCTACCCAGAACGTGGGGCCTCCAACAACTGTTGGGTGTATGGTGGATATGAATCACACCCGTTGGGTGAAACGAAGCCAAACAATTTATCAGGGCAGTCCGTACTGTGCAGAAAACGGACCCAGCAGTTTCCATAAATCAATTTAAATACCCCAAGTATCCCCAAGTAGTATATCCAACTGCAGATTACTATCCACCATAAGTCAACAGTTTAGGAACAGAAACCAATTTAGAAACCTCTTTGATCAAGGTGCAACCATTTTGCATGGATAGTGTAGTCTTCATACTCCCCATTATCTCCCATCAAATCCTTGTAGTCCATGCAGATTCCATAAATTATATCCTACAGTAGCATATCCCATGTTTTGTTGCCTTTACAGTACCAGATCCCCTGTAACTTTGTGGTGCCCCCTGAGAGAACGATGATGTTCTTGCCACCATAAATCTAACAGTTGTTGTACGTAGTGATATATAAACCAACGTGCACATCATAAATCAGGCACAGGTCATAACTTTGACTAAATGCTCAGCTCCACCAAAACTGACCACAACTCAATCATATTCAATCTATGTTTCTTGCACATCTCAGAAATATACCATGACCCAAACTTCCCTTAAATCTCTTGTTCCAAAACAGGAACTTGACCCAAGCTTCTCTGGGCGCCACCTTTTTTGGTGACCAGCTGCAACTGACACCCAGCGTTGTGATTGCCGCTGCCTTGGCGCCTTTGGGGCTCTACCTGCTGGCACAGACCCCCGAGCGGCGGCGCGCTAGTCTGCGCAGGGCGTCGGCGTTGAGCGAAGCGGTGGCAGCGGTGGCAGCGGCAGCGCCAGGGGAGAAGGGATGAAACGCCGAAGCTGAGATTGAATCGCCAGGGCTGGAAGAAGTATGAAGAAGTTGAGGATCAGGTTTTTGGTGTTGCTTCAAAAGCGATGACTGCTCATATGTTCTGTCATTAAAAAAACAATAACATTGCTTCATGATGCTTCATGTAGTGTTGGATCAGATTTTCAGATGATATTTGGGTGAGAAGTGGCCGAAGGCCCAAATTTCGTTGTGGACACAGCTTGACCTTGCTTTGCTGCTGAATCCACCATTTGAAACACTACTTGGAAACTTGGAAAGGTGGATTCTGAAGAAGCCTGTTGATATTATTATTTCAACATTATACGTTAGTAAAACAACTACCTCTAATAATATACAATCTAGTAATATGATCTAATAATATATTTTATATTATGTATTATGTATTATATATTATATCTTATATATTATATATATTATTTATTATATATTTTACATTATATATTATATATTATATATCATATTTTATATATTATATATATATTATATATTATATATTATATATTATATATTATATCTTATATATATAATATATATTTTATAATATACACGTGTTTCCATTTGCAGTATCCCTTAAGCAACGTCCAAGCTATCGTTTCTCTTTCTTATCTCGGGGCCAAATGAGCCCAGACGCCGAGATGCTGTGCACTGACAAAGGTTCCATGGGGCCGGGCTGAAGCCAACCAATCTGGAAGTGGGAAAGCACTAACCAATGGAAAAAATAAAAACAAATGCAAAGACCATTGGAAATAGAAATAGTATGACGTAATTCGTGGCATTCCCACGTCCATGTTGGTTGGTGGGTTCTGTTCGAGGGAATGATCCACAAAGTGACTCAATCCCATCCCATGAACGAAAATAACTGTTCCGGGTTCGACTTTTGTGGGATCACAATCGAACGCCAGAACGATCGCAGTTGAAGTCTGCAAACGGGATGGACAACAATTTTCGGAGGCCTATCCTTATCCCAAAAAAAAACGGAACATCGGTCAGTGACGCCAAGTATGAGTGAGATATTATGAGATAGCATCTATATAGATCCATCTGGTAAACTAACATAGATGTGTGGAAACCCACCATTTGTAGACAAGTTTCCTTGGGAAATGATGGACTTTCCACACTTTTCATATGTGTACCCTCGGGTAGTTCTCTAACTTCAGTTTTTTTTGGGAGGTTTCCAAAAATGAGGGTACCCCCGAATCATGATGGAAAATCCATGAAAATCCTATGAAAATGGATGATGAATGGATGATTTGGGATAGCCCCACTGAAAAGGAAACCACCAATTTTCGGAACGCAACTCAGATCCTTTGGAGGTGACCCAGTGTGATCCAGTGTGTGTTTGTATGTTAATGTCATGGAATGTCATGTTATGCTATGTTATGCATTTATGTATGTATATAATACAATTACATATTAATTATATATAATAGTTATATATATATAATAGTTATATATATATATATAATAGTTATATATATATATAATATTATATATATATAATAATATATAATAATATATAATAATATATAATAATATAATATATATAGTTTTTGTATGTACAGCGTATAATCCAACCATCTCTCAAAATGGGCCATGGCTGAGGCCTCACTGCAAGAGCTCCGGAGATTGTGGCAGGATCGGAGGATCCAAGAAATTTCACCGATTTTCCATGGAGAAAATGACACCGATCTGTACCATTTAGCCTTTGGTTATGACTAACGTAGCTATGGAAGCCATGGCCCATAGAAATAGATGATTTATGATGATTTATGATGATTTACCTATTCAACATGGTGATTTTCCATGGCTACGTCAAATAACCAGAGGCTATAGTCAATGTGAATCTTACGTTAGAATACGTTAGAATGTTATAGTCCATGCTATAGAAGTTATTTTTTACTTCCTGAAAGTTTGAACTTTTCGCATGTCGAGGATTCGACCATCCATGGGAATTTAAGCTATCAGAAATGGGGAGATGGACGAATCCATACAGCGATTCAGATCGACCTACAGACAGCGCTGGTTTCGGGGCCAAATCATCCCATCCCGCAATTATATGCAATTATATGTACAATGTGAGGCCCCAAGATAGCTAAGTTGGTTTATAACTCCAATAACTATGGGGCCTCACATTGTATATTTTATTAAACCCCTAAGAAGGACCGCATTTTTTATTGAATAGATCCAACATGATCCAACACTAAACCAGAATTTCTTGTGGGTCGTATTCAGTATGAGGGGGAAGTGAGATTACCAACTTCACAAACACTGCAGAAGCCTCACGGCTGCTCTATCAAAATATAGTACTCCTATGCACATAGGAGGGCGGCCTGCGGCGCTGGTGGAATGGAAGCCTGCTAGGCCCGGCCCACCGGACGAACGTTTCCCCTCCATTTTCCGACCAACCTCTTGGGGGGTTCCAAAAAGTCATGGGGAATTGCCGGTCACCATGGTTGTTTCAATGAATGATTTACTGGTCATCCATGGCTTGGATGATTTGGGGGGGAACCCCCATGACTTTGGAAACCTCATGAAACCTCTGCATCTCCTAGTCTTTGAAAAATCCTTTCCTGTCAGGTTTGGCCACATCTTTACCACAATCTGCGATTTGGCGAGGGGCCCCAGGGGCCCCATGGGGCCCCAGTCCATACGCGTCAAAGAAGATGTTTTTGGTTTCCCGCCAAATATGGTCTCGTCTCGTATTTTTGTTGTACATTCTTCTACATAGTCCTTGAAACCGCTTGGAGTTGATTCTGATGGTCATTCTCATCACGAAACCAAACGATGCACGCCTTTGTTTCGGACACAGAACCTGAACTCCAGAGAATTTTGGCATATTTGGGCACATGAAACAACCATAATTCAGAGATGTTCAGAGCAACAGAATTCCCATGGGATTTCGGTGCAAAAAGTCCCCAAAAGGACGGGTCAAAATTTGGAGAGGAGTACTGAGGTGGATGGTCTATGAGAACTCCAAGCAGGGCAGCTCAGAAATTGCCTGGTGGTTCAAACAAGTAGGAGTCACCAGGGTTTTAATAGGTGAATAATGAATAGATTGAGTATGATCAAATAATATCAAATAATTCAGCTTGGACTCTAATGATGGTTCTTATTGAGACCATGGTTAATCAATATTGATCCAATATTGATATTTATCAATATCGTTATGAAGATGATCCTCAACCAAACAAACATCGAGGAATTTAGAAATACATAAATTCGATCAGCAACTAATCATCATGATTGTATGATAATCAAAACATAGAAATTGGATACAGCTACATGAAATAGAGACAACTAACCTATCATCCCGATATCATTTAGAATTGGGATGTCATCAACCGACCATAGTATACATGGTCAACCTCAAGCCCCCCACACACGCAACTTTTCATGGGGTTTGAAAATTGGGTGCCCCCATTCTGCCAATTCAGTATCATGAATTTATATGAATTATCATGTCTGAAGAAATTTTTTTTTGGACAATTCAGCAATGTGTTATTTTCAGGGTGTACCCCCTTTTTTGGATAAATCATATCATGTTCTTTTTCAAACCATGCAAGATTGTGGATTTGGCAGAGGTCCTTCCTTCTTCCGGGGACCAATGAGGTGCGGCGGAAGATCGGGAGATGTCGGAGATGGGCGTTTCTTCTTTCACCCAGGGTGGTTCACCTATTCACCTTTCGATTTTTGGTTGGGATTTCTCCCAGGCGAAACTTGACCTTTTGCAAGGGGGTGTTCTTCGACTCCAGCCATGATGTTTTGCAGCGAAACCTTGCATAGAAATCCGAGATGATAGCAAGATGCCCATCTACTGAAAGGCAAAACCCATAGGAAAAACATGTAGCACAAGGATCTTTCTCATCCAGGGCTTTAGCTGGATTCCTATGGGTCCGGGGGAAGTTCAGCAGGCGGTGGTGAAGCAAAGTCCGCTGCTGAGAAGTGTTAATTCACCAGTGAGGAAGCGATGAGCTAAGCTATGGCTGTCCATATCTATCCATCATATTCCATAATATTCCCCACAAGAAAATGCGGGAGCCGGCAAAGGAGCTACAACTTGAGTTTCCCATCTATGACCACCGAGCTACAATTGCCTTTGTTTGTCTACTTCTTTGGAATATAGCCAACAATAGTACAGGTTTACCAGGGCACGGTCGTCCTGGTCATTCTAAGAGCAAAGTACACCATATTTTGAATGAAAAGTTAGCGCATGTTTTTAGAAGTCGAAACTTACTTCACCTATACCATATCAACAGCGGATTGAACAAAACCTTACAACATGAACATCAAAGTGAGTATCAAAATAGGATACCGTATCCCAGAATGTGTTGATGGACATTCCAAAACTAAGAGTCATTTTCATTAAGTGCAATTAATACTGGAAAAAAACAACATCACAGATATGATCCCTGAATACTCATACTACCCTCTGGTAAACTATAACATAACTATGGAAAATCACCATTTTATAGCTGGGTAAAGTAAATCAACTATTTCTATGGCCATGATCATTATCATCTGGTAAACCAACACAACCTAATTAATTTAATATATTTAATGGGTAAAATCATGGGTAAGTCAGCTATAAAATCTATTTCTATGGCCATTTTCAAGGGTTTTTTGTATTCCCAGAGGCTCCTACGAACTGATCTCGCCCGTTAGGATCTTTAGGCGCTGCGGGCGCTGCGGTGCTGGCATCCTTGGTGACGTCCTTGGAGGGGGGGGAAAAGTCGGCGGCCGCATTACATTGTTATCGAAACACAATGAACAGTAATGGTTGGAAATAATATTAACAATGATTATTTCATGAATAACGGAATAACTTGGAATAACAACATAATAATGGTTATGAATTATTCAATTCATGTCAATTATATATTAATTATTCAATGATTATTCATATGATAATGGTGAATACGTATAGAAAAGTAAATCACCATCACCACCATATTTGTTTGGGTATCAGCAATGATTGTGTTACCATTGTTTTACCATGTTTACTGTTTACGCTTTCTATTTGGGACCCCTTCAAAAGAATGCGGGGGTCCTTTTAGACTGAGACATCCCCGTGATGCTGTCATGATCACATAGCGATTCCCAGCCATCTCCTTAGATGTTCATTTTTTTCAGGGATAACCACTAGAAGTAAATGATAATGATACTACATTAACGACAACCATGTCCTAACATGTTTTATAGAACTAGGATGAGTCATAGCACATAGATAACCATTGAGATTACCACCTAATTATTACATCACCGCTAGAAGTTCAAGCAACTGAGCAGCTCTTCTAAGCGCCACTGAGGTGACGACCTTCCTTCTGAATCCGTTGGATGTCATGAAGAGCCAAGTGCAGGCGTCAGGGAGAACGTGACAAAAACACAGTTGATTCGTAGGGTCTTACATGGTCCTGTTGGGATGACGTGACAGAAATCAGATGTTGATGAAATGTTGATGTTTGGAGGATCCTTAGACGTATTAAACCATATTTAAACCATATGAAGCCCCAAGAAATCATAAGAAATCCCAGTTATTTTGCCATATGTGGCGCCTCTTTGGGACTGATGCGCGTGAGAGAAAAGGGAAATCTTTGAAGTTGCCATGTCGATCACGATCGAAACCGCCCGGTGCACAATCAGTTCACTACCCAAAGCTTCTTTTTTGGGGGGGCTGGAGGGACCCCCAAATCACCCAAAACCACTGTTCAAGAATTCGAGCATTTTTGCGCATTGAAACCTATTGAACCTTAACAATGATTTGGAATAGCCCGAACTTTTCAGATACCCTCTGGTAACATTTTGCGAACTGGAAAATCACCATCTTAACAGGTAAATCCAGCAAATTTAGATAAATTTAGATAAATTGAGCAGCCTAAATCTGGTCAATCAACTATAAATCCGGTAATTCAACTATGAACGGCTGCGCCCAGGCGGCCTCGTCCTCATCACAGGCGGGAGAAACTTCACCATAGGGTGGATGAATGGTGATTTTGTAATGGTTAATAGTGGTGAATATTGGTTAATATTTAATAGTCTGAATAGGTGAATATAATGGTGAATAATGGTGAATAATGTTCTAACCAATTAGTCAATATAATGATTAATGGTTAATACAGTAAGGGTTAATGATTCATACATATAGTCAATATAAGTCAATATGATGATTAATGATGGTTAATCATGGTCCAAAAATGCTGATGAAGAAGGACTTAGCCTCTTGGAATGACAAAAAAAAACCCTGGCTGGGAGCCGTAGCTATTTTTCTGGATGATTTTCCAGCCAATCGGGGTATCCCATCTGGTTGTGATCATGTTCCCTCCAAAACAACTGAAGAATAGTCTTAGTAACTTAACTCTACACATGATACTTTAGCACATTGCAAGTACTGTGATCATTTGCTATTGGGATGTAGGAACTGCCTCAGGTTCCTACAGCAGCCCTGAAGCAGCGTGAAACCCAGGTTTTGGTCGGAGAGATGATCTCTTGACATTGGATCTTTTCTAGTGTCTGAGAATAGAAAAACGTGGTGGCTCATCCCAGTTAGTAAGTAGTTTTTTGAGCCCAACTATGAGTAGGGTATGAGTAGGGTAAGTAGGGTTGGTCCACTTATGACTGCTTATGACATATACGTAAGCACTGTACTAACTGGGATGAGCCACCAAGCATACCAAGCAATCATGGGGAATCGACACCCATGTTGTGCGGGATCAATCGAAGCCGTATACGATACGGTCACCATCAGGATCAGGGGCCCCTGATAATTTTTCATTCTCCCAAACCAAATGGGCTGATGTTCATTGAATTTCTGGAAGTGAATGATAGCATGAATGATATATCTGGTTGGTGGTTTCAAACATTTTTTATTTTCCATACTATATGGGATAATCCTTCCCATTGACTAATATTTTTTAAGATGGTTAAAACCACCAACCAGTATATGAAGCCAAATTCACTGATTTCTGATTTAAGTGAAATATCCGACCCAGTGTGGAATTTTTGACGAGGTCCTTCTCCAAGCTCTTCTTGAGCGGCCTGGCTCCAAGGCGATGGGAAGCTCTCCATGATGGTTCAGCGTTGATGTTTTTTTTTCGGAAAACCTTGGACGTTTTCGAGAGGTGGTGTTGCTAATCTAGAAAACTCGTTGTTTTGACACGAAAATGAGGTGTCCAAGTGATTTGTCAATAGTCTCGAGATATCTTGAGATGTTTTTTAAGGGGTTGAAGGCTTAGAACTGCCTAGAACTGGCTGCTGTGATCAGCTGTGAAAAACCCAGGGGAGATCAACCACGATTTCAATGGCAAGGGGTGAGACGACCAGCGCCAAAAACCATCAAATAGACTGGCTTCACTCATATGTTACCTAAACGTTCATTCAATGCAGGTGTTTTATACCAAAATGTGGGTTTCTTTGTGCTTACCCTCTGGTTATTTAACATAGCCATGGGAAATGGCCCATAGAAATAGATGGTTTACCTATTAATAGCATGGTGGATCTTTCCATGGCAAACTGTTAGTCATAACCAGAGGGAAATTCACACCAGTCCGGACTGTGTGTCGAACCGGTAGGGGAAATCGCCGGTTATGAGACATCCCAGGGCCGATTTTCGGCGACCAGGTTGATGCTTTCGGGGATCTTCGGGCTGTCGGATTCCCTGAGCTATGAGGCGGTTGACAAAAAGGGACCTTTGAGCCCTGGGGTCAACCAAGAAATCGAGCTGGAAAATAGCAGTATTTGTTTATGTGTGTGTGCAGTTTCTCTAGGAAAATTGGTTGTGTTGGTGTTGTTGTTGTTGGTGGTGGTGGTGGTGTTGTTGCTGTTGCTGTTGTTGTTGCTGCTGTTGTTGCTGTTGCTGCTGCTGTTGTTGTTGCTGTTGCTGTTGTTGCTGTTGCTGTTGCTGTTGCTGCTGCTGCTGCTGGTGGTGGTGGTGGTGTTGGTGGTGGTGGTGTTGTTGTTGTGGTTGTTGGTGGTGGTGGTGGTGGTGTTGGTGTTGTTGGTGTTGTTGGTGTTGTTGTTGTTGGTGGTGGTGTTGTTGTTGTTGCTGTTGTTGTCGTTGCTTTTCTTCCCTTGCGCCTTACGCGCTCCCGCTTGCTGCGCCGGGCTCGGCGGATATGTACTGTACAATTGCTTGTAAATTTCATTAAATTACTATTAAGGCAGGTTATTATAAATGTGTTTAAATGCGTATGATTATGGTGGATTTAGCCTGAGGTAAACATAGAAACCATAGTTTTCCAAAGGACATGATCTACAAACACTGGATGTTTCATTAAATTAGGGTTTATTCCTGTAATGGCTAGACAATACCCCTTGAATGTTTATGTCATGAATTTGGGCCTCAAACTAGGGTGGCCTGACACGGAAAACCAAGAACAGGACAGATTGGAAAGCACATATACATACATAATATGTTAATATATGTTATAGATCATTATTGGAATCGCAAGCTTAATTCTTGTTCTAAAGGTGAAAAACGAGCAGGTTAAGAAATCAGGCAGTCGCAGGCACTCAGGCACTCACTTGCCTGAGAAAGATTGTTGCACAACATAAAACTGTTTTGCAAAGAAATGAAAGGGGCAGGAGACAGCGTCCGAAATCATGCGTGTTTCCAGAAATGGAGTTGCATCGGATAGCATTGCGGGTCAATCTACAGACTTTTTTACAACTTAAACACATCAGAATTCAACCTCGTGAGGATTCCAACATCAAGTCAGGAAGTCAGGAAACTAATTCCATCCCCGAAAAACAGATGGGTATGGGTCAATACCTATATATAGATACATTTTAGTGGGATGAACATCCATAAATCCCAGCTATTTTGGGGTGAACAAAAGGTACCAGGGTTTTGACCCATCCCCAGATGAATCAGATGAATTCCAAGTCAGAAAGTCTGGTGAAATGATGGCTTCGTCCCGCAAGGCCATCATGTACTTGGGTCGTGCCACATCACCAAGCCAGGGGGCCCACAGTCCCACAGTGTGGGTGCAACTTGTGGGCCATTGCTAGGGCTATTGCTAGGGGTATACACAGTTAGTCAACCCCAAGTTGGAATGGTTTCTTATTGGGCTTAGGCCAAATCATGATGATCATGTACTGATGTTGACTGGTTGTACCGTGGAATCATTGCTTGGTCGCTGGCAAATATCTTTGATGTTCCATCCCTGTTTGCCAAGGATAAACGGAACAGCACCAGGTTGAGAGATGTGACAATTCTCAACACATCATACTGTGGATGCAAAAAATCCTGCACCAGTTGATAGATGGTTTATCCCATTATTTATAGGGTTTCAACCATCCTGAAATGGTGGTGCAGGATTTCTTAACCATCCACAGTAGTAATACAACAGTTTCTTGTTTGACTGCTAGCAATGATAGCAATGATAAGATGGTCTGCTTCGCAAATCCTTATCGTTCCCCAGATGATTCCACCAACCAGCTTGCTGAGGATGATCCAGGATGCTTTGCCGGTGCCCTGTTTTGAGTTCTGGAGTGTTATTGGATGCCATTGGCTTGATGGTTTTAAAAGCCTTCCTCTCTGTTCCCCGAAAACGATGTCAGATACTATCTAGTGGCTAGCAGGGAGCTAAGGAGCTATGGATATTCATATATATATATATACGAAAGCCAGCCGAAGGCCTGGGCTTGAGTATAGGTATAAGCGAAGCGAAGCGAAGCTAATCTAGGGGGTGTGGGGGGGGGGAGGCCCGAAATCGGTCCGTTTTTGAAAGGTGAGGCCGGAGCCTGGGGGGGGAGAGCTCAAAAACCGACCTGCCGTTTGCCTGGTTTTTTGGGCCCGAACGAGATGCTCCATTTTGGACACTTGTTGGTGGTTTTCGACGGTTTTCATCGGGTTTCAAACGCCAAAACACTGTAATTTACGGTGTTTTTGTGCGTTTGGCCTGGCAAAAGTACGTCTTGCAACATGCTGAAAACTGCGTAAATACCACTGTTTTTGCTAGGTTCTGGCCATAAAACACTGTAAATACCGTGGTTTTTGGTTCCAGGAGCAAAAAAACACCGCAAATACAGTGGTTTTGGGCTTGCGAGGCGTCAAACAACACGGTTTTTTTTTTTTTAACGGAGTTTTTTGCTCCGAGACTGTTCAAAAAACACGCAAACACCACCTATTTGACAATTTTTCGGCTTTACCTTGTTGGTGGTTCTTGACGGTTTTATCGGGTTTCAAATGCCGAAACACTGTAATTTACGGTGTTTTTGTGCGTTTGGCCTGGCAAAAGTACGTCTTGCAACATGCTGAAAACTGCGTAAATACCACTGTTTTTGCTAGGTGCTGGCCATAAAACACTGTAAACACCGTGTTTTTTGGTTCCAGGAGCAAAAAAACACCGCAAATACAGTGGTTTTGGGCTTGCGAGGCGTCAAACAACACGTTTTTTTTTTTTTAAACGGAGTTTTTTGCTCCGAGACTGTTCAAAAAACACGAAAACACCAACTATTTGACCATTTTTCGGCTTTACAAATGAAGGTAAAAAAAAAAACATGCCGCAACGTCTCTGTGTGAAGATGTTTCTAACTATGTAAAAGCGTCTCTGTGTCAAAGCGTTTCTCTGTAGATATATCTGTGTGTACAAGGGTCTGTGTGTACAAGCTTCTGTGTGTAAAAGGGTCTCTGTGTAAAAGCTTCTGTGTGTAAAAGCCTCTGTGTGTCAAAGCGTATGTATGTAAAAGTGTTTGTGTGTAAAAGCGTCTGTGTGTAAAAGGGTCTGTTTGCAACATTCTGTGTATGCGTAAAAGGGTCCGTGTGTAAAAAGGTTCGTGTTTAAAAGTGTCTGTGTGTAAAAAGGTCTGCGTGTAAAAGCATTTCTGTGTCAAGATGTTTGTGTGTCCAACAGTCTGTGTGCTACTACGACTCTGTGTAAAAGCCTTTCCGTGTAAAGATGTTTGTGTGTAAAAAGGTCTGTATGTAAAAGCCTCTGTGTGTGAAAGCGTATGTGTGTAAAAGTGTTTGTGTGTAAAAGCGTCTGTGTGTAAAAGGGTCTGTGTGCAACATTCTGTGTATGCGTAAAAGGGTCGGTGTGTAGAAAGGTTTCTGTTTAAACGTGTCTGTGTGTAAAAAGGTCTCTGTGTAAAAGCATTTCTGTGTCAAGATGTTTGTGTGTCAAAAGCGTCTGTGTGTAAAGCTGTCCCTGCGTACACGGGTCTGTGTGTAAAAGCGTCTGTGTGTACAAGCGTGTCTGTGTGAAGCTGTTTGTCTGTAAAAGCGTCTCTGTGTCAACGTGTTTCTGTGTAAAGCTCTTGTAAAAGGGTCTGTGTGTAAAAGCATCTGTGTGTCGAAGTAAAAAAGTGTCTGTGTGTAAAAGCGTTTGTGTGTGTAAAAACGTTTCTGTGTAGTCTGCAAGGGTCTGTGTGTAAAAGGGTCTATGTGTTTTTAGCTTCACAATGCTGGGTCATAGCTTCCGTTTGCTTGCTGTTCGTTCTAAAATTGTATATGTAGCCGTTTCCCGTTCTTCCCAAAAGCGAAATGCAATAGCCGGCCGAATGGCCGCCAGATGGCAGAAAATTGCTTCCAACAGGTTTCTGCTCTGGATTTGGCTCCAAAAGGCTCCTGGCCAGGATTTGGCCTAAAACGGCCGTTTCCCCTTGAGCCCAGAAGGCACTTTTCGTTGCCGGCCCGCAAGCCGCGAAAGTCTTAAAAGCTGGCTCCAAAAGGCTTCGGCCAGGATTTGGCTAAAAATGGCCGTTTCCCCTTGATCCCAGAAGGCCCTTTTAGTTGCCGGCCCGCAAGCCGCGAAAGTCCCACAAGCTGGCTCCAAAACGCTCCGGGCTTGCGAGGCGTCAGAAAACACGTTTTTTTTTTCGGAGTTTTTTGCTCCGAGACTGCTCAAAAAACACGAAAACACCAACTATTTGACCATTTTTCGGCTTTACAAATGAAGGTAAAAAAAAACATGCCGCAACGTCTCTGTGTGAAGATGTTTCTATGTAAAAGCGTCTCTGTGTAAAAGCGTTTCTCTGTAGATATATCTGTGTGTACAAGGGTCTGTGTGTACAAGCTTCTGTGTGTAAAAGGGTCTCTGTGTAAAAGCTTCTGTGTGTAAAAGCCTCTGTGTGTCAAAGCGTATGTATGTAAAAGTGTTTGTGTGTAAAAGCGTCTGTGTGTAAAAGGGTCTGTTTGCAACATTCTGTGTATGCGTAAAAGGGTCGGTGTGTAAAAAGGTTCGTGTTTAAAAGTGTCTGTGTGTAAAAAGGTCTGCGTGTAAAAGCATTTCTGTGTCAAGATGTTTGTGTGTCCAACAGTCTGTGTGCTACTACGACTCTGTGTAAAAGCCTTTCGGTGTAAGGATGTTTGTGTGTAAAAAGGTCTGTATGTAAAAGCCTTTGTGTGTAAAAGCGTATGTGTGTAAAAGTGTTTGTGTGTAAAAGCGCCTGTGTGTAAAAGGGTCTGTGTGCAACATTTTGTGTATGCGTAAAAGGGTCGGTGTGTAAAAAGGTTTCTGTGTAAAAGTGTCTGTGTGTAAAAAGGTCTCTGTGTAAAAGCATTTCTGTGTCAAGATGTTTATGTGTCAAAAAATGTCTGTGCGAAAAAAGCGTCTATGTCTCACGGCGTCTGTGTGTGCAAGGGTCTGTGTGTCAAGATGTTTGTGTGTCAAAAGCGTCTGTGTGTAAAGCTGTCCCTGCGTACACGGGTCTGTGTGTGAAAGCGTCTGTGTGTCGTCTGTGTGAAGCTGTTTGTCTGTAAAAGCGTCTCTGTGTCAACGTGTTTCTGTGTAAAGCTATTGTAAAGGGGTCTGTGTGTAAAAGCATCTGTGTGTCGAAGTAAAAAAAGTGTCTGTGTGTAAAAGCGTTTGTGTGTAAAAACGTTTGTGTGTAGTCTGCAAGGGTCTGTGTGTAAAAGGGCCTATGTGTTTTTAGCTTCACAATGCTGGTTCATAGCTTCTGTTTGCTTGCTGTTCGTTCTAAAATTGTATATGTAGCCGTTTCCCGTTCTTCCCAAAAGCGAAATGCAATAGCCGGCCGAATGGCCGCCAAATGGCAGAAAATTGCTTCCAACAGGTTTCTGCTCTGGATCTGGCTCCAAAAGGCTCCTGGCCAGGATTTGGCCTAAAACGGCCGAGCTGGAGCTGATCTGGACGAAAGTATCGTGGAATGCTAACAACTAGCAACCGCCTTTACTTCGAGATACTTCAGCGCAGAGACAAAAAAACCATGAGCATTGCTTTGGGGGCTGGCTTTCGTCCCCCCCCTTCTCAGGTATATATACACTCTGATAATTTAACATAGCTATTGAACATGGCCATTTATAGTTGATTTTCCCATTAAAAATGGTGATTTTCCATAGTTATGTTAGTTTACCAGAGGGTATATTCCACATTAAATGGGGGGCAAAGGAGTCACTTAGAGTTTCCCAACATGATAGGATAGGTTCCAGGCGTATACCGTATATACATAAGACATATGATTTAATATGACATTATATATGTGTACACTGTCATTGGTTCGTAAGCAAGTTACGGCATACAGACTTATGTGCTTTCACCACTCGTACATACTTATAGCTTCTTGAGTACTTGAGTGTTGAATTCGTAGGATGCCATGAGGGAAACCACTTCGACAGGGTACCCGATCCAGTTTCTTTCCAGTATGTAATTTCAAATCGATAGTATGCAAAACTCACCATCTATAGAACATTTCCCAGGGAAGCCAGGGGTTTTCATGTTATTTTCCATCAGTTTTGAGTGAGAACCTTACCAGGTACAAACCATTTGTTGGAACTTCCACTGGATCCTGGGGTAGGTCCCTTGGTTTCTAGATATCCAAGTCGTAGTGCTATAATATAGGTCTAGTGGTACGTCAAGCTCTCGGTGAAACCAAGATGTTTGATTCATTTTCATATCATTATGTTTCATCAATTACAATATACCATAATATACCTTGGAAATCTTAGGAAATCTGAGGCCAAGTATTATTATTGTTGAATGTCTAAAGCATTATTCTAGCTGAAAACAATTGTATTTAAGGGCTTGCGCCCGACAGCCGGCCAGGGGCCCACTTGATGGTAAAGGATCATAAACAGATTATCAAGAAGAATTGAGGGAAGATCGAAAAAAAGGGAAAGCCAAAAAACACCGTAAAGTGCGGGGTGTTTGTAGGGTCGGCGGTAGTAGTTGTTGTTGTTGTGGCCCATCCGCAAGGTCTGTAGTAGGCGCATCGTGGGGCGAGGTTGGCCCAGCTTGTGGCTATGTTGGCCCCTCTTGGACCAGCTCGTGGCCAGCTTAGGGGCTATGTTGGCCCGTCTTCGCGCTATGTAGGCCCATCTTGGGGCTATCTTGTGGCTATGTCGCCCCATCTTGAGGCTATCTGGGGGCTATGTTGGGCCAGCTTGCGCCCGTTTTGGGGCTTATGTTGGGCCATGTTGACCCATGTTGATCCACAAGATCGAAAAAATGGGAAAGCCACAAAACACAGTAAATTGTGGGGGGCTGTACCGTCGGGGGAGGGTCGGCGGCAGGGTGGGGAACTGCCGTGCGGCAATGCCACGGCCACGGGGGCTTGGGGGCCCCTGGCCGGATTACCGTATTACAATATTATATATTATATAGTTCATTCGTGCATTCAAGGTTTTGAATATGGAATGGGCGCCAGTTGTCTCACCGCTTTTCCTCGCCAGGGTGCTGACGTCCTCGTGGTGCAAGGGGCGTGGAGATGGCGGAGATGCCGAAGAAATGGTGACCCAAAGCGATGGTGGAAGGTGAACCCCGAGGAGTGTTGTTTTTCACATAGCCTTGATGGGCGAAAATCTTTGAGGCCATAATTTCACCCAATTTCATCACATGAAATTGGGTTTCGATTCACAGATGTCATGCAAACAGATGGCTGGATTGTTACGCGGAAAAGACAGACCGGCTGCCCGGTGGATGTGATTATACCGCCTTCATGCAACAGGGCCCTGCAGTGATGGTGTAGAAAATGTGGCAGAAAATGATGAAACCGAAGCATTTTGGATATGTTTTTTTTTCTGAAAATAGCCTGTCCTCAATGTTGACGGATTATAATCAATTTCTCTCTCTAAAAATTGCCGTGGCTTGGAGGAACCTCATGTCCAGACAAACCCATATGTCTGAATATTCTGATATTTTTTTCTGGATGGCATCAAAAACATGTGTCTCTACTGGAGCAGGGTATATCTGGAAGCTGCTCACCCTCTTCCAGATGATTGCCAGCAGTCAAGGGGAAAGGACGATGGGAGGAACAGAAGCCACCAAGTTCCACAAAGTATTGCTACATGGCCCGGCCCTATATTATATAGGAAGTAAATCCACCATGTCCCAACAAACAACTATCCGATTATCCTATTGCTGATTCTAAGATGAAATTATATGTCATTGTATCGCATTAGATCACCATTGATGGACTGATTCCCAAGGTTGTTCATTTATGTGGAAAACTCTTAGTTTGTACCCTCTGGTAATTTGTTACATAGTTATTGACTTTAGTTCGATGTTTTCCCCAGTATTTTCATTGTGGGTTTCCGCAGCTATGTTCAATTGCCACAGGGTATCATCTCTTCTCATTTGGGGATAGTTCAATACCATGAATAGTCATTCACCATTGTTCTTCACCAAATTTCCAGGGATTTACTATCCACCATCATTTATACCACTAACAATCGCATTACAAAAACATCCCATAAAACAATCAAAAACACATCATTAAACCCACATGTTTTTCCATTTAACATCCCAAAAAAAAAAAAACATCATTAAACCAGATTCAATCCGGGTAACCATCCCATTAGATCATATTAGATCCCATTAAGCATCATTAAACTATATTAAGGTCATGTTTTTTCCCATTCAACATCATTAAACCCACGGGATTCAAGGTCACTCCCCCAAAAAATGCCATGACCCCTTGCGCAGCTTGGCGGGTCGCGGCGCAACGCGACCCTTCAGCGTGGAGCTCTGAGGTGGGGTAGTGGTCTAACACGTGTACAACACCTGGAAATATGTGGTTATGTGGTAATCTGTGGTTATATGTAATATACAAAGTGGTAATATTATTAGTGACTAATGTATAGCGACTCATATATATATATATATATTTATTTATATTTATTTAATATATAGATATATCAAATGAATATGGGAATGGGTCAAAATTTAAGCCTTATGGGATCACAGATGTTAGTATATGCTGAACATTAAACATCTAATTATTGGGGTACACAGTTTTAACCTATGACCATTTGGTGAAAAATTATTTAGCCTCTCGTTATTTAACAGTTTGCGAACTGAAAAATAACCATTTTATGGCTAGGTAATTCATCATAGTTCATCAAGAAATTGGTCATATTCCATATAGCTATGTCAAAGAACCGAAGGGTATCTCGTATTTTAATGGTGATTTTCCATAGTTCTGTTAAAATACCACGGGGCCATGGGGGGATTGGATATAGTGAAATATAGTGAGTATGACTGATGGACCTTTGTTAAAATTGTGAGTATATAATGTGTATACCATTGGGTTTTGTTTGCTGCATCGTTGTTCTTGAAAGCTGGGAACTAGCGCTAATATCCCCATATCTCTAGTATAGGATGTTCACCGATAAATAAATATATAAATAAATGAATATATATATATATATATATTGTTAGTTCGGGGTACCACACCAAAATAGATTGATCTAGGCCTCTTTGATGTTTCCTGCTCAGAACACAGCTGTCTCGGGGTCTCCCTCCATGCCATGTCTTGGCCATGTTGGGATGTCAAAGGATCTCGAAATCTGCCGGTGACACCGCAATGATGGACTTCTGGACCTGGTAGCAGTAGGAAAAAAGGCGATGAAAAAGGATGAAGTATCTGAAAAAACGAATTCGTTGGCTCTTGACCAGCGAAAATCGAAATCGAATATAAGACACACCTTAAATAGGGCCCTACTAAACCATCCCATCGTTTCTGGGGGGGGGTTACCACCCAGGCCCATAGCCATATCCCATTGGTCAAAATCAGCATTTTTGATCGTTAAAACCCCATGTTTTGATAGTTGAACCATGTTAAAACCCCATGTTTGATACTGTAGTTGATTCTCCGAAATTGGATTGTCAAATACTAAATCTGCACTGGTGAGCCTGTGTCAGGTCAAGAGAGCAAGATTGCGTGACACTTGCAGGAAGTTTTCTGTCGTACCACCTGTGGGAAACGCGCTCGTATGCTGGATGTGCAAGTGAAATGATGTTGCGATATATTTTTTCGATCGTTCTTATTATGTTGCTGTTGGTTTCGAACATGTTTTATTTTTCCATAGATTGGGAATATCATCATCCCAACTGACGAACTCATATTTTTCAGAGGGGTAGGTCAACCACCAACCAGGTTGTGTTATGCATTTCACGGTTACCGATTGTTTTCTGTGGATGAATCGGTACATGGTTTTTGAACATGTTCCCCATGGAACTGGATGCCTATGGAATATCCTCCATGAAATATGGCAGCATTTTGGAGAATCACCCATCGAATATTAGATGATACTGTACATGATGATACTTTTTTGGACTCTAGGATTTGTGGATAGCCTCTGTTCAGACAAACCCATGAAGCCCCTATGAACATGTTTGAAAGATAATTTTCTGCACTCGGAAATTACATTTTGTGAACAGGTTCCGCAGTGTCACGCTTGTGACCAGAAATCGCTTGCACGAATCTAGCCGATAGTTTTTTGAGCCCCAACAAGACCTGCCATCATATATATATATATATTTATTTATTTATATAATTATATATATATATATAATTATATATATATATATCGGTATGTGTTTTTTTGGGGTATATAGCCGCTAAGGCGCATGGTCTCAAAGGACCAGACCTCTTCAATGGATCCTGATATGATTCCTGTTGGAATTTTGGGTGTATCTGATTCATTCTGATTCCAGTCTTTGGGACATGAAAATTCTACGGTGGGTCCTGTTTAAAATTCGAATGCAGTACGTTCTGCTCTGTGCATTCGCCATGGCCATGGATTCTGGGGACCTTTTGAACCCACTGGAGTCATGGAATCCCAAGGGAAACCCCCTGGGCGTTTTGTGATCAGAGCGTGCTTTTTTACTGCAGCAAAACGAGCAAAACCAAAACGAATCCAGTTCAACAAATGGTTATTGATAGCGTCCCTTTGATGTTCACAAACTCCTGAAAAGGTAGATTTGATTCGTAGTCCCATAAGAATCCGTAAGATCGGAAATTGCAGACATTCAACATTTGCTGATTGGTGCATATTGGTGCTTTCAAAATATGGCAAATATTTGTCTGTCCATCCCTCGCTTCAATGGCCCCGGGCCTCACTGGCTCAACCAGTTTTTTGACGAATTTGAAGCTGCGAAAGTTAATGCAAAAGGCCCAGCGGCCGTGCCACACATGGTTGAATCCTCCCAATGACAAGCCAGTCTGTACTGGTGATCAGAAATGCCAAGCCAGGGTCTGCCGTGAAGATTGGGGGGAAGAGATGAATACAGTGCATATGTATTACATATGTATTACATATGTGGCATGCTCAATAGACTTGGTCTTTTTGGCCTTGGCCTCGATCAGATCGTTAAAGGAAGAGCACGTCTTGACGTGAAGGTTTCAGGACCTGGCTGTGGCGTTCCGAATCTGATGATTTCCACCATGCCGTCTCGGCTCGACAGAACACTGCAATATATAGAAAGAACATGAAAGAACATGAAAGAAACTTAGTTTCCAAGTAAATCAAGTAACAAGTCTTTGGGAGATTGTTCCTATGTATAGGCTATGCAAAAAAATATTTGCGTTGAGTTTAGATATACTTATATTACTTATGATGTGTTATCATTCTTGGTTTCTTTCCGTGGAGCAACACATGATTGGGGGGGTTGTCTTCCTGTCAGCCCAAACGCAGAGAAGAGAACTGACAAAAGATGTCCATGAGCCAACCCCCTGATTGTGCCAACCCCGAAGCCAGTCTGTTCACACCAAAGCTGTTGCATTTTGTTTGCGCAAAAAATTGTAGGTATGTTCAGCATCACAGAGGTCTTTGAGTCTTTGAGGATTGACTTTTTGTCAAAGCTCCTTTCCTGTGCTTTCCAGCCTACAGCGCCCTAGCTGTTTCCAAGTCGGGAATCTCAGCTTTGCACATGCGGACTCAAGTCTTGGATATGTCGACCAACACTTTTCAGTGCGGAGCTCAACCTACTGGTTTACTGGATCATATCCGCCTCTAACATGGCTTGCTGGAACATGCTGGAACATCCACCATGGCTAGTTCGATGATTTCCCTTGAAAACCCTCCATCTATGGGGGATTTCCCAGCCATGGAGGTGATAGATATCCTTGCCCATTCAACAAGCAATAGCTAGATCTAACCAATTATAAGTACCCCAATATAGCTGGCTGGTTAAACATGTTTAACATGGAAAATCCTACTAAAATATGGATGATTTGGTGGTGCTCCTATTTTAGGAAACCTCGATATATGGGGCACAGCCTACGGATATAGCTACCCAACAATTGATGATTGGGGATTACTCAACCATAATTGGGGATGCAATCCCATCCCCCATATTAGTTACACCCCATATTTATGGCGCCGTTTGTGTGTGGCTTCATCCCCGACTTTTTCGCCTGACTCCTGGCCTATGGTGGTTGCTGTGGATCATCACCGATGTGGGGATCCACATACCTTTCCAAGCAGATGGCTTTGGAGATTGGATGGATCTTAGTATCTGATTGGTGGCTTGGGACATTGAAAATGGCCATAGAAATAGTGGATTTACCCATTAAAAATGGTGATTATCCAACTGATCATTGATATACTGATTGGTGGTTTGGGACATTTGGATTATTTTTCCATGTATTGGGAATAACCATCAACCACCAACCAGGTATCATGTTCTCATTTTAAAGTTGCCATGTTGAGGCATCCCCGAAATATTCTTCAGAAAGACCCAGACAGCCAGACATCGCCGCTGTGCTCTCAAGGTGATTAATGGGAACTGCATGTTGCTCTCAAGCCGAGCCTGGCCAGAAGGAGTCGATGGCTAATCCTCATGGATTCATCGAGGGTGCCTCCTCTGTTGTTATGTAGACATCTAGGAGTGGAGCATGTTCCACCAGAGACTTTTTTTGGGTGAAAAGCCTCAAAACGGGATCGAAAAAAAAAAAAACATCTAACGGCCTGTTATTTAAAGTTCCTGCCAAGCTGGTGTTCTATCTCTTTTTGGAGCACCAACAAAAATACAAAAGTCAATCGTACCACTAAATCATCATGAGACAAATCCATTTGACATCATTTGACCAATAATAATTAATTATATACCCCAAAAAATGCTTCAAATAACCGACCTCAATAACATCATCAAATCTCAAAACATATCAAAATCCCAAACCTGGTTGGTGGTTTGGAACATTTTTTATTTTTCCACCATCCCAACTGACTTTCACTCCATCATTTTTTCAGATGGGTTAGCAGCAACCACCAACCAGATGGTTATGAATGGTGATATATTTTTTTTATTAATGATGCTTAATGATGGTTAGTGGCTATAGTTGATGGTTATTTCACCATTTTTTGATGGTGATTATTTACCATTTATGAAATTTATTACAATTTGTTTGATGGTTATGATTTACCATTTATTATATAACCATTTCCTCAATCACCAACCAGAAAAGCCCAACAAAAACAACGGCCTCACCAGGAGCTTTTGCACAGCGGCAACCCACCGCTGGAACCGCAAAAGGCCACGGCCTCTCGCAGCGTTGGACAGCCCAGCGGTGTAGGAAAAATCCAGGTTGGCCAAAGAAAAAAGATGTGGGTAGGTTGCAGCTATAGTTATTTTTTTTAATAATTGTTCATAGTTGGTTGTCATAGTGTTGTTTTTTCCCGTTTTTTTCGAAATCGATATTTGGATGTGTTTGACTATGGGTTTGGTTTGTTCCAAAGTTGAATCCTTGGAGTGGTGAGATTCAAGATGATTCAATCATATGGTATTTGATGATATTTGTAGTATTGAAGAAATCATGGGATACAATAGGATATTTCAGCAACTATGTAGTAAAGTTTGACACTATGATGGAATGATGGTCTCCCCAATTTAGTAACTGATAATAAACTAAAAATGAACTTACTGGTGGTTTCAATGTTCAATCATCATGGTATTTATTTGTTCACTCGCATAGCCAAGATGATATCCTCCTGATCAATGTACGCCACGACCTGGGGAAATCAAACATGACAACCGGAAAATTCCCCCCATAGATGATTTTCTCCCTAAAATCCGTGGATTTGCTGGAATTTCTTCATGGAAGTTTGAGAGGAAAACATCATCCATTTATACATTTTCTGAAAATCTATAATGGCTATAATTCATGAAGGATTATGCAATCATCCTATAATTCATCTATAAAACATCATCTATAAGTGAACATCATCCAACTAATTCATCTTATTCCATTGCTCCTTCGCTCAGGCCCCGGCCGCGCCGGTGGTCGCCAGCGATGGGGATGGCTACAATTACAAGGTGCGGTGGTTGAAAAACGGTGCCTGCACAGGGTACCAAGATGTACCAAGTATTGCAATATCTGGAAAACAAACATGGAAAAAATGGAAAAAAGGAAAAAATGGAATGGAAAAAATGGAAAACATGGAAAAAAATGGAAAAAATGGAAAGCTGAAAAAAATGAACAAAAATGGAAAAAAATGGAAAAAAAGGAAACAAATGGAAAACATGGAAAAAAATGGAAACCTGGAAAATATCTGGAAAAAGTTTCATCACCAAAAGATGGAAACTCGGTTCTATCTTTTGGGGTGTTGCTGTCGCTTTTTTGTGTAACTTTGACATGACTTTGCATTTTGGGGTATTTGGGATTATACGAACTTATTAATGTAATATATGTTCATATATGGTCATATATGTATAAAAAATTGTATTATGGGGTATAATGCAGCAGTTCTTGGTGGGTTTACTACCATCAAAATCTCCCAGAACGGGGACCCCGAAATGACCAGATTGCCCACTTTTTTTTACGGGTCGGGGAAATGGATTCATTGGTTCCAAGCAGATTTTTTTTACGAAATGATTTGATGACCTTCGATTCACCAAGTTTGAATTTAATGATATTCTAATGGTTTAAATGGATTTAATGGATTGATGATAAATGGATTTGGTTGTTATAATGGATTGATTATATTCTAATGACATTGTGGAATAATCTAATGGTTAATCTAATGGTTATTCACCAAGCAGCTCAGTGATGATGGTGATTCTCCCACTGCCAGCAGCGTTGTGTCGCGTCGCGTTGTGTCGACGCGGAGCGTGCTGTCAGGTGTTTCCAGATGGATCGAGATATGAAGGACAATGGAAGGATGGCCTAAAGCATGGCAAGGCGAGAGGAAATATGTCGTTAGTTATCGTTGTTGTTGTTGTTTTTGTTCGAAGTTGTTGTTTCAGCTCAAGCATGTACAGTACTTGAGGATTGTTTGTTTTGTTTTTCCGCAGTTTTTGTTTCAATAAGGTACTTGGGGGTACAAGTGGCTCGTAAGCATATGAAATACTCCAGATATATATATAATATATATATATATATTAATATATTAATATATGTATAATTTGGGCGATATCCCCAGTTACATTCAGTTACATACAATTGTAGATTCGTAGATATGACAGATGGGCCAGACGAGACGGGTTTCGCATATGTTGTGGGCATGGAAAATCACGGAAATAGATCCAATCATGGGGATTAGATAGTTTCCTAAAATGGGATAATGGGGCTATCCCCAATAATTTGGATGGTTTAAACATGTTTAAAATAGAGAATCCGATCTAGAATATGGATGATTTGGTTGCACACCCTATTTCGGAACCTCCCTTAAAAAGTGGGCGCAGCATGGGGAATCTATGGCATCTATGGGAATCTCGCGAAAACCAGCGGTGGGGATCAACCAACCACAGTTGGGGATGTCATCCGCCATCCTTCCATTCATATTAGTTACATACCCTACCATAAATATATTTTTGGATATCACTACCCTACCATAAACCATAGTTTTTATTAATATATATGATAATCCCAATAGTAATCCCAACAAAAATACCCTCTGGTAATTTGTTACATAGCTATTGAACATGGCCATAGTTAAATAGTTGATTTCCCTCTTAAAGATCTTTCCATAGTTATGTAAACGTATGTAAACGTTGACCAGAGGGTACACCCAGAGTCACCATGGTGGGATGAAATGGATACGAAGGATGTGGATTTGGTTTCGGGCTTCCAGATGCACCGTTCATTCCCGACGCCAGGGCCGCTTCATTTACCCCGACGGCGACGTCTATGATGGCCGGGGAATCCCAAGGGTGTGTAATGTGAACGGGGAAGGGATTCTCCAATTGCCACGGATGGTATCCCAGAAAAAAAAAAGCATCAATTGGCCCTTCATTTACCCAATTGAGGCTGGTATTCCTTGACCATTTCCAATTGACTTAACCATATATTATTACATTAATATTAGCATGCCATCAATAAGCCACATAGGGGGGTTCCTGAAATGGTGGTACCCCAAGTCTCCCTGGGTTTCAATGCTAAAATGGCCATCCATGACTTGGTACCTCCATTTTAGGAAAGCGCTAGATGACTACCATTGCTTGCCCTTTGGTAAACTAACATAGCTATTGAACATGCACATTTATAGATATTTATAGTTGCGCTACCAATTAAACATTGTGATTTTCCATAGTTTTCTGTATGTTTACCATCGCCCATCGCTCCCATTCGTTGCTCCAAACTGATCCCGTGGTGTTTTTGTTGGTCGAACGACTGGAGGTGAGTGGCAAGATGGTAAAGCCCACGGTGAGCTCGTTGGGTTTCGGCGGTTTCGGGATGTTTGGCTGCGGGATCTCAAAAATCCAGTGTTTAACATCATCCAAAAAAGGTGAGATATATATAGATCTATCATGATATATCATGATATATATATATATACACCATGATGTATCAATATCTAAATAAAATTATAATATATGACTTATTTGGGTTTTATATAACTTATCTAGGCTTCAAACATGGGTTCTGAAGCAACTGAAATGGTGAGTGTGATAAATCCACGACAACGTGCAGATTGGGATGTTCACCTACCTCCACTGTTGGGTACTGAGTTTCTTGTTGTAGGTTTGGCAATGTGACCATCCCTAGTTTTACTGTGAAAGGAGTTTGAACAACAGAAATGTATAGACATGTAAAGAAATGTATAGAAATGTGATATATGGGTATGAGGATTGATCAGATATGATGGTACCATATTGTAGCATGTTTTCCATCTTGCCTACAAAATCACCCGTTTGCTCACCATGTTCCAATTTGTCCCAACAAAAAAGGCCGTCAATTCTTCCCTTCTAGAGGTCACGGAACCTATACATCAAAGCAGTTCATGGCTCAGAAGTTCCGCCGGAAGATGTTCTCCCAGAACTGGGAAAATTGAGAGTTTTCCCCCAAACATACTACCATATCTATCATCATGGCAGATCATCTATTCAACATAGCGAAAATCCATTAGAAATGGAGGTTTCTAGCTGGGAAGTTCATCTGTAAATGGGCAATTTTCCATAGCTATGTTAGTCATAACCAGAGGGTAAGTTTGGGGCTTCAGCAACATGTGGTCAAGCCAGGTAGGATGTAACAATCGTCACCACGAACTGATCGACAGATATCGAGAGTATTGGCGCGTTGCTCTCATGAAAATGGGGCAAGCAAGACATGATGTTCATGGTTCTATGCCTTCTTGTGCCTTCTTGGTTGATGTTTTGTTCTGAAAGATATCCAGACAGAATAAAATCATGACAAAATCATGTTCCATTCCATCATTCCCACGTCGAAGTGCTCGAACCTGCTGCAATGTCACCCTTGAGGTCGAAGTATGTGGGTGACTGGCAGAGCGACCTGAAGCACGGCCAAGCTGTCGAGGATCCGCAAGCCCAGGGACAGCCCGCCGGCTTAGCTAAGTATATAAATAAATGTAAGGTATAATATAGGTATAATTAATAGGTATTGTAAGGTGACATTTTGGATAGATTTGGTTGCTCTGATGACTCTGATTCTGCAGCTTTCAACCTTCTCTCAGATTGGGAAAACCTGGGATTCCGGAGCTCTAAAATCGGTGACACAACCAGGAGTGGGACGACACGTCAAAGTACACGGGAACCTACTCGCATGGGCAGAAACATGGCAAGGGCAGGCGCGAAAATCCGGTCCAGCCTATGGGGTTGGAGGGTCGGAGGGTTCCTGGCTATTCCAATCTTTGATGATTTTCGAATGTGGATTAAGTTATTTGTATTTGTTTGTATGTTGATTGTATGTGTGTGTGTGTTGATGTCTTTGGGGTACGGTAATTCTTGAATTATTTTCAGAATCACCCCCAAAAAAGACAGAAACTGTAATGTCCCACTATTTGAGTATGATATTACCGTTCTATCTTTTTGGGGTTTTCTATAGATGTATACATACACAATCTATATGTATCAAATATATCGTGTCCTTGATCAGGAATTTGAATCATCCATGATGGGAATTGGAAGATGTGTCATTGCATGGGGACAAGCTGCAGATAGAAATTCACAAGAAGCGATTGAGTACTGCAAAGTATTACAAGAGATCTAGTTTTGTTTTTTAGCGGGAGAGAGAGAGAGGGATTCTGTGGATATGTTTTGGCACACATATCTTTAGCGAGAGAGCCAGAGATGGAGAAAATCAATGAAAATCAAAGAGACATTGAATGCCCAAGCAATGTTTTTCATACATTTCATAGATTTACCCTCTGGTAAACTAACATAACTATGGAAAATCACCATTTTTCATGGGAAAACTCACTATAAATGGGCCATTTATACCTCAGCTCCAAGAGAAGGCCGGTTTAACGTTCCAGGTTTGAATGGCCTGACGGCTCGGTCTACGACGGCGAGTTCCGCAACAACAACGCCCCTTTTCATGGCGATGGACAGCGGGAGGTGCCAGGATTTCACCAAGAAAAATGGCGATTCAACTGATTCAAGCAAGCAAAATAGGGGAAAAGATGTGGATATAATATGGTTATAATAATATATATATCCATCTGGTTATATCCACATGGTATATGTGAATATCCACTGATATACCATCTGGTTATGACTAACATTGCCATGGAAAATCACCATGCTATTAAGAGGTGAAGCATCTATTTCTATGGGCCATCTATACCATGGCTATGTTAGTCATAACCAGGTCGCGACGTCTCTGTCGAATCGGATGAAGGGAAATCATCCCCGAGGTGCCTTATTGCTGGTTGGTGGATCATCATTGGTCCAATGATATAAATATATATATATTATATAATATATATATATAATTAGATATATTTACATATATCTATTTGATCTATTGGATCTATTTGTATTTGGTATTGGTCATATTGGATCTATTTGTATAACTAAAATATTGATCCCCCTGTTTGAGTATTGGATCATATTGGATCTATTTGTATTTGGCGGGGGATACCAGCAGAGATGGACTGGTCAGAAGGGAATATGGCAAGATTATATACATGGGCTTATCTCATGTTGTCTTAACACTTGGCACCCGCAATATAGATGGTTTAACAAGATTTTTTCCCAGCAAATTGGCACTTTCGAGGTATCCCGGTATCCCCCCCAAGAAATGAGACAAAACCACCTTGCGTTCATGGGGTTGGCAATGCCAAGTTCTCTAACTTTGCTATTTGGATGGGGAGACATGTTGTTTTCAGCCCGACAGGCGGGCATGTTTCATACCCGGCTGCGTTCTCGTGTTGCTGGGGTCGTAAGCGTGGCGACAGTTGATAAATCACAAACAAAATCAGGAGTTGGTGAGTGATCACGTTATCACACCAAAAGCGCGTATAATGATTTCTGGGATAGCTCGCCATGTTTGATCGTTGGCGAAACCCCCCTTTTGCTTGGTAACTGGATGAAACTAACTGGTTCATAGCTAACACTTCAACATCAGGTTATTATGTAGCCGGTAGATGCTATATCTCTATATATATAATGTATTGTAACACAAGTAATATATATATATATAATGTGATATGTGATTATATATTAAGTATTATATATTGCAAGTATACTATGCAGATGTATCCCTATAGATACACAATATACATCATATAGCGCTCTATATATATATATATATACACATTATACACCATATATAATATGTATATTCACATATATATATATATATACAAAATTATGCATATTTATCTCTACAGATACAGAATATCATACATCACATATATATATATATACAATATACATCATGTATAATATGTATATTCATACATATATAAATATACATATATATATATATGTGATGCATTTATGTTCTACTATGTAGTGGATAATTGTACCCCAGTAGCCTGGGCATCTCTCAGGTTGAGGGTGAAGGAACCTTCACCTGGAAGGACTGGATTTCCGCATGCCCAAGAAATCGTGGTGGATTAAGCGGATATATAGCGTGCTTGTATATGTATAAAGCAGATATATCCTTTACATATATATATATATACATAGTGTATATATATATATACACTATATATACTATATATTATTTATACACTATATATACATATATGTATATAATATATGTATATATGTATATATTATGTATAGACAATTGGGATGTAATGGGTATATAATGGGTATATAACCAACACCTTGGGTATCTTACCATTCCTCCAACAGCTTGGCCCTGCCATGACGGTTGGGGTGGTAAGATGTTCCTTCATAGCCTTCATGCCATCTCATCGATTTGGGTTAGGAAGCTAAATTGGAGGACTTGACTTGATCCGAAATCAGCAAAAATTGCGGGGTCAACCAGATAAAGTTTGCCCGTCAGCCAGATACTCCACGATTTTATTCGGAAAAACACAATTGAGCTAGCATTTTTAGATTTTTAGCAATCAACAAAAAATGGTAACCTTAGATTGGAATGGGCAATGTACACCAACTATTAGTTTTCTCGAGTGTTCTTTCAAGTGGAAAAGAATACCTGGAAATTGTGGGTAACACCTCTATGGGATTTTGTTTGAGGCGATGAACATACATTGACAGGTTTTTGTTGGTGTGCAAACAAAGGTAATGGGGTCTTTACCGATACCCACATGGACCATTTCTAGACGATGTAGCTATTGAGAAGGGTGAGTTCCAGTTCACAAACTAATCATTACTGTTCAATTCCCAGATATTATAGTAGTACTATAGCCAATATGTCATCATCAACATCCCATTAATATTCCACAACTTCATATCATTTCCCCATTGAATCCCGCCATGTTCTTTTCGCAGAATGTCTTCATTCAAGCTGTGCCCATGTTCGTGCCACATTGGGCCTCCAAGCGCGGGGGCAAGGACGGACGGCAGTACAAGGGCCAATGGGTCGACAACCGCGTCTTGGCAGAGAAGGCGAGTGACCCAAAAGCATCTCCAACTTGGATCTGGTGATAAAATAGTAACTAAATAGGAATATGTTTAATAGTTAATCTATTTAAGTAGTATGATGAATTCTCGTAATTATCTATTTAGGAACTGGTTAGTGACCATAGTTGCAAAGCCAGTTATATGTTGAATAACCCCATCAAGGGGACTTACTAGGGTTACTAGCCACAAAGTGGGATGATCCAAGAAGGTCTGTGACATGTTCCTTCACTTGGCTGTTGACAGGCTGCGGGTCGGCCATGATGCCGGTGGAACTGTTCTCAACAGATAGGAGCCCGAGTCACATAAGATCCCAGCTTCTGTCTGAGCACTCCGTTACAAACCTTGATGGGGTAATGTTAGCTCCTGATTAGTAGCTAGGGTCGCTATTGTGGCAACTTTTTTCCAAATTATTCTGAAACTCATGTATTGTTTGGAGGGTTCGCTTTTGTGGCAAAACAAAATTGGGAGAGCACTTTTTTTTGAAAAAAAAATGTAATTGCTGAGAGGCAATTTGTTTCTCAAAAACGCTGTAGCACAGTCAAGTTTTTGCTCATCTCTCTATCTGAGCCTGTAAATGCATCTCTATCTGAGTAGGTTTGTTTGCTGGGCTCACTATTGCAGCAAGCTGTGCCAGAGCAGCCCCTGGAAGCCCAGAAGGGAAGCAAGCCTTTTCCAAAATTGCCAAATTCAAACTCCAAGCCTTTCCCAAAAGAACCAATCCCTTATTAAACCCTTATTCAAGAACAGCTTTTCCACAATTTTCCAAGGCCCTGGACCAGGAGAGGCTCCATTTCACTTTAGTAGGTTTGTTTGCTGGGTTCACTATTGCAGCAAGCTGTGCCAGAGCAGCCCCTGGAAGCCCAGAAGAGAAGCAAGCCTTTTCCAAAGGCAATTGCCAAATTCAAAGCCCAAGCCATTCCCAAAGGAGCCAATCCCTTATTAAACCCTTATCAAAGAACAGCTTTTCCACAATTTTCCAAGGCCCTGGACCAGGAGAGGCTCCATTTCTCTTTAGTTGGTTTGTTTGCTGGGTTCACTATTGCAGCAAGCTGTGCCAGAGCAGCTCCTGGAAGCCCAGAAGAGAAGCAAGCCTTTTCCAAAGGCAATTGCCAAATTCAAACTCCAAGCCTTTCCCAAAGGAGCCAATCCCTTATTAAACCATTATTAAAGAACAGCTTTTCCACAATTTTCCAAGGCCATGGACCAGGAGAGGCTCCATTCCACTTTAGTAGGTTTGTTTGCTGGGTTCACTATTGCAGCAAGCTGTGCCAGAGCAGCCCCTGGAAGCCCAGAAGAGAAGCAAGCCTTTTCCAAAGGCAATTGCCAAATTCAAACTCCAAGCCTTTCCCAAAGGAGCAAATCCCTTATTAAACCCTTATTAAAGAACAGCTTTTCCACAATTTCCCAAGGCCCTGGACCAGGAGAGGCTCCATTTCACTTTAGTAGGTTTGTTTGCTGGGCTCACTATTGCAGCAAGCTGTGCCAGAGCAGCCCCTGGAAGCCCAGAAGAGAAGCAAGCCTTTTCCAAAGGCAATTGCCAAATTCAAACTCCGAGCCTTTCCCAAAGGAGCAAATCCCTTATTAAACCCTTATTAAAGAACAGCTTTTCTACAATTTCCCAAGGCCCTGGACCAGGAGAGGCTCCATTTCACTTTAGTAGATTTGTTTGCTGGGTTCACTATTGCAGCAAGCTGTGCCAGAGCAGCCCCTGGAAGCCCAGAAGAGAAGCAAGCCTTTTCCAAAGGCAATTGCCAAATTCAAACTCCAAGCCTTTCCCAAAGGAGCCAATCCCTTATTAAACCCTTATTAAACCCTTATTAAAGAATAGCTTTTCCACAATTTCCCAAGGCCCTGGACCAGGAGAGGCTCCATTTCACTTTAGTAGGTTTGTTTGCTGGGTTCACTATTGCAGCAAGCTGTGCCAGAGCAGCCCCTGGAAGCCCAGAAGGGAAGCACGCTTTTTCCAAAGGCAATTGCCAAATTCAAACTCCAAGCCTTTCCCAAAAGAACCAATCCCTTATTAAACCCTTATTAAAGAGCAGCTTTTCCACAATTTTCCAAGGCCCTGGACCAGGAGAGGCTCCATTTCACTTTAGTAGGTTTGTTTGCTGGGTTCACTATTGCAGCAAGCTGTGCCAGAGCAGCCCCTGGAAGCCCAGAAGAGAAGCAAGCCTTTTCCAAAGGCAATTGCCAAATTCAAACTCCAAGCCTTTCCCAAAGGAGCTAATCCCTTATTAAACCCTTATTAAAGAACAGCTTTTCCACAATTTCCCAAGGCCCTGGACCAGGAGAGGCTCCATTTCACTTTAGTAGGTTTGTTTGCTGGGTTCACTATTGCAGCAAGCTCTGCCAGAGCAGCTCCTGGAAGCCCAGAAGAGAAGCAAGCCTTTTCCAAAGGCAATTGCCAAATTCAAACTCCAAGCCTTTCCCAAAGGAGCCAATCCCTTATTAAACCCTTATTAAAGAACAGCTTTTCCACAATTTCCCAAGGCCCTGGACCAGGAGAGGCTCCATGTCACTTTAGTAGGTTTGTTTGCTGGGCTCACTATTGCAGCAAGCTGTGCCAGAGCAGCCCCTGGAAGCCCGGAAGAGAAGCAAGCCTTTTCCAAAGGCAATTGCCAAATTCAAACTCCAAGCCTTTCCCAAAGGAGCCAATCCCTTATTAAACCATTATTAAAGAACAGCTTTTCCACAATTTCCCAAGGCCCTGGACCAGGAGAGGCTCCATTTCACTTTAGTAGGTTTGTTTGCTGGGTTCACTATTGCAGCAAGCTGTGCCAGAGCAGCCCCTGGAAGCCCAGAAGGTTCAGGGTTCGTCTGTGCACGTCAAAAGTGGGTCGTCTGTGCACGTCAGACGGTTGGTCGTCTGTGCACGTTTTTGTTGTGTGATTTTGTCATTGTAGCTCTGTAACATGATTCTTCTTCTAGCTTTTTTTAACATCATCACACAACTCATCAAGTTATGGTTTTTTCCTCACATCTCTGTGTGGGGCTTTTGTTTTTATGTTTGTATTCCTTGCCTTCTCCTCCTTCTCCTCCTGAGTTGCTTCTTTCTCTCTCAACTGCACTCAAGTTGTCTCACACAATGCACACATTTCATCTCACACAACTCCTCTCATCTCACAAGTCACACAACTCATCTCACACAACTCATCTCACTCAACTCATCTCACACAACTCAACTCTCTCAAGAGCTGCTTTCGTGTGGCATTTGGTGGAGCTGCTTCGTGTTCTCTCACTGAACTTCACCCAAGTTCTTTCACACAACTCATCTCACAACTCACACAACTCATCTCACACTACTCCACTCATCTCACAACTCACACAACTCATCTCACGTATTTCCGCTCATCTCACAACTAACACAACTCATTTCACACAACTCCTCTCATCTCATAAGGTAAGTGCTCTACAGCAAGCAAATGAATGAGGGTTGCTGTGCGGGTGCAGGCATAGGACACATGAACCTTATTAACTCACCCCACCCCACCGGTAACTGATCATGAAAGAGCTGTGCCTGTCTCTGCTCTACGGGAAGAAAGATGATGAGGTTGCTGTGCCTGTGTGGGCATAGGAACATGAACGTTATCATCCCACCCCACCCCACCCCACCCCCCCCACCCCACGGGTAACTGATCATGAAAGAGCAGTGCGTGTAAGTGCTCTACAGCAAGAAAGATGATGAGGTGGCTGTGCGTCTGTATGCATAGGAACATGAACCTTATTAACTCACCCCACCCCACCGGTAACTGATCATGAAAGAGCTGTGCCTGTCTCTGCTCTATGGGAAGAAAGATGATGAGGTTGCTGTGCCTGTGTGTGCATAGGAACATGAACGTTATCATCCCACCCCACCCCACCCCACCCCCCCCACCCCACGGGTAACTGATCATGAAAGAGCAGTGCGTGTAAGTGCTCTACAGCAAGAAAGATGATGAGGTTGCTGTGCGTGTGCAGGCATAGGAACATGAACCTTATTAACTCACCCCACCCCACCGATAACTGATCATGAAAGAGC